TTCGCCCTGTCACTATTCTGTTACGAGCAATACAGTATGATAATTATTAGATAATCTGTACAATGTAATAATATACAGTGGCGGATCCAGGTGGTGGGGATTGGTTCCGGGGGTTGGAAACCTCCTTTTTGTTTGACAACTAATGCTTTTGTATGGAGACATATGGTTGGAGCCCCCTTATTATATGGCATGCATGTGTTGGAACCCCCTTTTAAAAATGGCTGGATCCGCCTGATATCTCTAAACTAGAAACGTAATTCTAAACATAAAAGTATTTAATTTTATCAGACAACACGGAAACATTGAAGAAATGTTAGTAGTCCTCTTCAGATATACATCTTATGGCGGTGCTGCTGTGAATTTTTAGAATTTAGATACAATTTTCCACTGAAATGTACACCGGTTGAAATGTCACTTTGATTGCTATTCTCGTGATGCTTTTTTTTTATTTGCGCCGAAATTTAAGCGAGGAATCCTGAAAATGGTTTATATATTCCTCTGCCAAATACAATCTGCTTAACTTTGATAGGTTTTTGTTCTTTTGGGGTAACCCCTTTTTTTTTTTTTTTTAATTCTATATAATTTTATTTGAAATGTACATTTGTTAGAGATACATAAAGTACCGGTACCTTATCCCGGTCTCGTTGACGTTAGTATATAGCATTTCATAAGGTTAGTACTTGTTAGTACACAACATACAGTTTTGCTAAATAAATAAATAAATAATGTATAACAGAATAAAAAGAAACTACTATGATATACTATAAATCTTAGTTAAGGAGATAAATTTATTTTTTCTGCAACCAAATTGTAGAAGTTTTTATATTTGCCTTGTTTATTTGTCAATATTTCGTAATGTTGGAAAAGTTCACTTTTAAAAATTTCAAACACATTAATTTGTTTTGTTTTCTGCTCGGATATGTAATACACTTATTAATAGTAAAAAATACGATTGTTAGAAAATCGTTGATATTGTAATAATTTGTATCGTTTATCTTATATCCATACAAAAGTGATGCCAGTGATATTATATGATGTCCTATTTTAAGTTTGTCTAGTATTAGTTTTATTTGATCCCAAAATGATTTTAGATATTTGCATGTCAGAAAGTAATGATCATAATCTTCAATGACATTACATATATTACATAGAGGAGTTTTAGTTATTTTCCAAGAGAAATGTAATTGTTTAGTTGGTAAAATGTAATGTAGAAATTTCCATCTTAACATTCTCAATTTATTATCTTGGATATAGTCAAAGATGAAGTACAACATTTGTTCTCTTTTCCTTGTATTGTTATCTAAATTTAGAATTCTGTCCCATTTTTGAAATCCTATTGCTTTCTCATAATATCTATTTAAAAGCGAGATGTAGATATCTTTCGAGGAAAATATTTTTATTGGTACCATTTTTCCTTCTCTATCTTTGAATTTAAATTCGGAGTCGGTAGCAACTTTTGTTTTGATTGACTCTTCTTTTATGAGCTCTTGTAACCACTGTTTTGGTATTGCTTTCATCAATTTAGAATATTCCGAAAACCAATTAGCATGGCAAGATAGTTTATCCAAAATCTTATTTTGATTAATTTTTCCTTTATCATCAATTATGTCATTTACAAATAAAAATTTGCTGTTTATCCAATTTTTGAAAATAAGACATTTACCATTTAATTTGATATGCTTATTGCCCCATATTAGTTGCTCTCTGATATGCTTATATGTTAGTCGATTTGATTCTTTTTCAGATTTTGAGTTTATCCATTATATAATTATTTTTAAGTAAAATTCTGGAACAATTTCTTTTAGTTTATTGATTAGATTAATATTGTTAAAGTCCATTTTAAATATAAGGAATTCTTGTCCAAACTTGTCTAAGTAAAATTTTGGAAAGACTTTCCAATTGGGTGATGAGTCTTCATTATCAATGAGTCTTTTTACCCAATTAATATTTATGGATTCTATATATTTATCTATGTCTATCATTTTAAGTCCGCCGGCAAGATAATTTTTACTTATTATAGCTCTTTTAATTTTTTTCTGGTTTATTATTCCATATAAAACTATATATTATTTTTTTAAATTTTGCGAGATATTCTTTATCAATATCTGTTACTGATGCAACATAGGTTATATTTGGTAGGATTAGTGATTTAACAATAGTTATTTTACCTAACATAGTTAATTTTCTATTCCAATCTTTCATTATTTTTTCCGATTTTTCGTATTGTCTTTGCAAGTTTAATTTTTTACACTCATTTTTATTAAGTCCAAAATATATTCCTAATACTTTTATCGGTCCTTGTGTCCACTTAATGTTTTCAACTTTATCTTTACAGGATTTTAAATTTCCGAGCCATATCCCCTCTGTTTTATTTCGATTAAGCTTTAGGCCTGAAAGTGATCCGAAAATTTCGATAATGTTCAAAGTTAATGAAACTTCTTGTTTTAAATTGAAAAATAAAGTGGTGTCATCTGCAAGCTGGCTTAACTTTAGAGTATGGGTTTTATTATCTAGTTTGATTTGAAAACCTTTAAATTTTTTATCTTGTCTTAATTTACAGGCTAAAATTTCAACAGCAATAACGAAAATTATAGAACTCGCGGGACACCCTTGACGGATCCCGCGCTCAATGCTGAAGGGTCTTGAAATCCACCCATTATTTAATATACAACCCTTTATATCTGTATATAAAGTATTTATCCACTTCAATAAAGACTTCTGAAAGCCAAATTTCTTTAATGAACAATACATAAATTCCCATTCTAACGAGTCAAATGCCTTTGAAAAATCTAAAAAGAGAATTGCCCCGTCTACGTTGAATTTTTCTGAATAGTTTATAATATCTTGGATTTGTCTAATATTAAACCCAATATATCTGATTTTTACATACCCGTTTTGATCACTGTGAATGATTTTATGCAATACTGGTTTAAGTCTTTGTGCAAGAGAATATGCTATAATTTTGGTATCTACATTTAATAAAGTAATTGGTCTATAATTGTCTAAATTTAACGGGTCATTTTTCTTGTAAATAAGGGTAATTAATCCTAGTTTCTGTGAATTTGTCAATTCTTTTTTCTCATAAGAATGGTTAAAGACATCTACAGCAAAATATTGTAAGTTGGACCAGAAAGATCTATAAAATTCAATTGGAAGACCATCAATACCCGGTGATTTGTTAAGTTTCATTTTAAAAACAGAGTTTGTACATTCCTCTATTGTCAGCTTTCTTTCAATTTCATTACTTTCGTGTGTAGTTAGTTTGCTGTTTATTTTTGTATTTTCAATATAATTCTCAATTTCTCCCAAATCTGGCTTAGTTGACGTATATAAATTTACATAATAATTCCTCCCCGTTTCTAATATTTTACCTTGATCCTCAGTTATTTCCCCTTCATTGTCCCTAATAGCAGTAATATTTTTTCTTGTCTGTCTCGATTTCTCTAATCCCAAAAAATAATTTGTATTTTTTTCGCCTTCTTCTACCCATTTAACTCTTGATCTTATTTGTGCCCCTTTTATTTTATCAGAATATAGAGTTTGTAACATTTCTTCTGTTTTCTTTATTGAATCTATTATGTTATTATTTTTCTTTTCATCAAGGACATTATCCTGAATTTCATTCAAAAGTTTAAGTTCTTGTTCAAATTCTTTAATTTCATCTCTTTTATTTTTAGCTTTAATTTTACAATGTTCAATAGTCGTCTCCTTTACCTCTATTTTAAACAGATCCCACACGATTGCTAAACCTTTTCGGTCTCTTAATTTTTCATATTTATCTATTAAAGTGTTTATTTTCATTTTGTATGATTCGTCTCAAGAATACTATTGTTTAATTTGAAATAACCCTTTCCTTTCTCCCCCTGACAATGATTTATCTTAAGTGAAATTGCTAGATGGTCTGTATATTGAATTGTAGCGGGTCTTATATCAGTGTGGAGTACTTTAGGTCTCACGTCTTGACTAACAAGAAAATAATCAATTCTACTAGCTACTTCATTGTTTTTTCTTCTCCAGGTATATTGTGTTTTATTTGGATTTATTACTCTCCAGATGTCTATAACTTTTAGTTTTTTATTAAACTTTTCAACGCATTTGTCTTATTTTTTATTTTTTGTTTATATTTTCTATTCTTTCTGTCTTTTATATTAAGCGTTTCATTCATATCTCCCCCTATAATAAGTATACCAAGGCTATATTTTTCAATGACACTTAAAGCTTTTTTAAAGAATATATTTCTATCTTTACATGTGTTTGGGGCGTAAAGGTTAACAAAAGTAAATATATTTTTATCAATTTCTATGTTGATTAAAACAATTCTTCCCTCTTGATCTACATATTTGTCAATACTTTCATGTTTAATTATTTTGTTAATGTAAATCGAAACACCCTTTGCTTGTGTACTTCCAAAACTATGATATAATTCTCCCGTGAATTCTTTGTCTATAGAATTATCCGAAAAATGAGTTTCTTGTAAAAATATAATATTGCATTTCTGTTGTCTCATCCATTTTTTTAGTCTAATTCTTTTTATATGTTTTCTCAACCCCTGACAATTTAAAGAACATATGTGTAATAGATTAAGTGACATCTTGATTGTTTTTTAAAAGTATTCGATGATTAATAAATAAACAAAAATAAAACATACAGGTATTTACAACTATAGAAATTAGAGACAAAATAAATGACACACATATTATCAATGACAGAGTTAACCTTCACCCTGTGAGTTGCAATATAATATACATGTACGCACATACATTTAATTCCATATTGACCGACTTTGATAGGTTTTCACCTGTTTCTATATTTAGGTAACCCCTTTTTTAAATCAAAAGTGTAAAATATTACCTATTTGTAATCTACGGAATCGTATAAGTTGTTTTTTTTTAACTTGGTTTTACAATATTTCAGGTTGCTGGAATTTTATAGGTGACGTTCATTTTCTACTGAATACTACCCAGAACTTTAATACTGAAAGTATAAATGGTGAAAAAGACTTTGTAGCAAGATTTGCGGAATCTTTTTCTATTGGACAAAACAATGTTCAAATAGGTGTTACATTATTTTCATCCCAGATCCATCATCAGTTTGATATGGGTCTCCATACTAATCTCACTTCTATGCTTGAGGCTATCGAGTACATCCCAAATCGTTTAGGCAGTTCACAGACTGATAATGCACTCGAATGGGTCTTTAAGCACGCGTTTTCTAAGGAAGCTGGAAACAGAGATAGTGTGCCTAATATACTTATTGTTTTAACTGATGTATATGCAGTTAAGGAAATCCAGACTCTTGCATCAGGACTCCAAGGACATGACATGAGCGTTTTTGTCATTGGTATTGGACTATTACCAGACCCCTCCGAATTGGCACAGATAGTTACACACCAACAGGGAATTTCCCCTGTATCAGCCTATGGTACGCTTTGGGATCTACAGATTAAACTTCAAGATTCAGTATGCCAAGGTATGTTAATTGTTTTTACGATAATTGTCTCCGTTTCACTTTTTGAGACATATCCTTTTACAGGGTGTAATCTGTTTCTCGCGAATTGTTATAGTACAAAATGTATCACTCACTATACACAGGTAAAATTTGAGCGAAATCGTTTTTGTCAACTCTGTAATGCCCTTTTTTTATGTACTAGGCATTTTGTGATTTGGCACTTGAACATGTATCATTCATAGAAAATTTACATTTTGATTAATTCTTGCTTGAATTATCTACTTTTCCGGCAACCTCAGGCGAAGTTGACATAGACGGTTTGTCAGCTATTATTTAAATACAGGTTTTTTTGGTGTACTTAGACATACATTTCTATATCTTTTGGGCTTTAACATTTGGCTCTGAGCGTTCCTTATAAAGGTTAATCTTGAAAAGGGGCTCGGGCATGCAAATTAGGGATGTCTTGTTAAGATTTATGATCACTGGGTCGGTGTCTGTAATAGTTATCCCATGAAGACGCGGGTTGTCAGTGTAAGATCACCCCGATAGCCGGAGGCCAGAGGGTGATCTTACACTGACACACCAAGTCCGAGTGGGATAACTATTTTACATCCCTGCTCTTTTAGAATGTATGAAAAAACATTTTAAGCTTCATGACATCTAGTTCAGAATGCCATATAATAATTATAATATACTTTATATATAACTATATAGTATATACCCTTTATGAGTCCCGGACACAATGTTTAAATATGTTAAAATAACCGTCAGTTCGTATACAGTCGTCCTGGTGTAGGGGTATGAATCGTGGCTTTATATGCGTAAGGTCTTGACTTCGATTCCCCGCATGGATACTACAAAAATTTTGAAAGTTTGTCTTTATTCCGCATAAATATTTCTGCGGTGGTGTGTTTGACATTCCCGCCAATATGTTACAGAACAAAAGAAAGCATGCAGAAAAAAAGAAACTTGAGGTAGGGTGATCTGGTAGGGGTGATCCGACTCAGATTACCCCTGTTAGAACAAAGGAGTTGGGATGTAACATTGATTAACTGCTGTTATCATCTGTCAATATAATCACTGATTAAATACAGGAAATAATTACCTTTCATGCTTTGTGAAGCACCTGAGTTCTTTCCGTTTTTTTGGTGGGGTTCGTGTCGCTCAATCTTCAGTTTTCTGTGTGGATGTTGTTGATTGATGTTTGTCGGTTAATTATTTTCAAGTATTCTGTTTATATTGTTTGTGTACTTTTGATTTGATAATTGTTGTGTTGTCCCCTTGGTAATTGTTGTGTTGTCCCCTTGGTAATTGTTGTGTTGTCCCCTTGGTAATTGTTGTGTTGTCCCCTTGGTAATTGTTCTCCCTTTTTTGATTCGATTATAATAATTAATGAACTCTAAGCTGATATTTTGTATGTGCATTTTATTTTATAGAAATGAAGGTTCAAATAGTAATAGTCATAGATGCATTATAGACAGTTTGGTTACCCATTTAAAGGTTTCTGATTCTATTGTTCACTTTGTTTGTATGCATCAATATTTCCCTTACTTCAATATTTTAGCTCTGGGTGCTTGATTAGATTAAAGTTCTTCTAGATTTTCAATTGAAGTCGACATTTCAACAATTGTAATGATGTTTGAATATAAATTACCAGTAATCATGTCAGACATTTACATGCTGGCAAAGAAATTTGGATACACATGTTTTACCTGGGAATAGCATACTAACAATACGTTACGTCTCAGGTTTTAGTCATAATCGAATTGTACAAGTAATCAAACTTTAATAAAAGTTTAGGAAATTCAACATTCGCATCCAATAATTTCACACAGTCTAAGTAACTTGGTTATATTGAACCGTAAGCTTTTTATACTATAAATCGATGTCTTACTCCACAAACAATAAACAATCAGATCCGATAGTATATGACTCTCATTTTTCATTATGATGTATTCATCAGATTTGATTCTTCTTCTTTTTTAAGTCACACCTACTACTACTACTACTTCTACTGAAACTATTATACCAGCAAATTGTATTGACGCAACATATGTAAAGTGTGATGACATTCATATATGTAGTGACAACGCACTCAGGCAAAAATGCCCAGTAACATGTGGACTCTGTGGTGAGAATAACTTTTTAATTGCAAATTGTATCTAAAGATTATTAATAGTTTAACGTCGTACAGTTGATAAAAATAAGGCTACACAACATAGAAACGAGGAAGTATAGTATGATTGCCAGTGAGACAGCTATCATCTAAGAGAAAAAAAAAAAACGCTGCGAATTTTGACAATGAACAATCTCGTAATAAACAATTCAAACCTATTCTCAATTTTTTTGTTACTTATATGCTATTAGAAAATTATATGTGGGACATAATGTTCTCCTCTCCTTGCCGATTTGTTCCTTTATCTATATGAAGCAGATTTCATATAGGAGTTTCATAGGAAGAATGAACAGAAGCTAGCATTATCCTTTTACTTCACGTTCCGCTATATTCAACCAGCGTCTGCGTATTGAGTATATATCTCCTAGTTGTTACCCTTTTTCAGAGTTTGAATTTCCTATCTAATTTCCTTGATTTAGGTTGCTGCTTACAAGAAAGCGATTAAACCAAGAGTTACAAGTTGTGAAATTGAATTCATCCCTTCGATGATGATTGGGTTTGTGGTTGGTGTTCTATGTTATGTTTAACTGTTGTTTATCTTTTGATCGTTTTTAGTTTTTTGCCTGGTATTGTCAGTTTGTTTTCGACTTTGGGGTTGTAATATCTTTGGTATCTTCCGCCTCTCTTTTATTATTCGTTAAAGTTTCTACATATTTTAAACTACCACGACATGAAAAAGAAAAAAAAAGATTTGTTTAGGAAATACTAATTCCTAATTTGACACACCATTTGCTTTTCAAAAAAAAAGTATGCAAAGTGTCCGAAATTTAGAATTTAACTTATAATTTAATCAAAACAAAAACATTTTCGTTTTTATTACGAAATTGCTATCCTTAAAGTTTGTCAGTAGACAGTGGGCCTTCGTGTCATCTTGACACACCTAGTTGTTTTACAACTCCTGTCAAGTGTATTTTATTATACATGCTTTAAATATGTAAATAAATAAGTCTTATTTTTTATTATGATGGTGTATAATTCTTAATCTCATAAGATAAAACCTGCTTTCAATTGTTTGATGGACATATTAATAGTGGGTTTACCATTATTACCCCTATGTAAAAAGGACTTTGTTTATGTATCTTATCTTATAATTGTTTGTCCTGATCTTGTCTTTATTGCCGTCTAAATTCCATTTGCTGATAGCTGTCAATACCGATGTATACTTAATCTATCCTGAGATGAATGTTTTAGTAAGCATCCTTCAAAAGTTATGCTATATAGATACTTTATTCATAAATGGAGGAAGGAAGAGGGGGACGAAGTTTTTGTCTGTTTTTCCATTTTTTCTTTAAGTTTTATTCATTTAAGCAGCAAAAAAATTAAGTACCATGTATAATGTAAAAAAGAAGATGTGGTATGATTGCCAATGAGACTACTCTCCACAAGAGACCAAATGACACAGAAATTAGCAGCTATAGGTCATCGTACGGCCTTCAACTATAATGCTTTACAACTGGCATACTTGATTTCATTTTACATGCAATATTTGTTAGTCTTTCTTTGTCAAAAATATTTGGACTTTGTTTTTGAACTCCCCCTTTCATTACAACATACCCCCAATCCTCATTTAAAAAATCTAGAAACAAATGACAATATTCAATTTCTATTGCTTAAATTAATATAGCTTTAATTTCAAAGAATAACTTGTGGTTTGTTTTTTTTTTTGGTTTGTTTTTCAGACGCTGGTGTCAAAAGCACAACACTTTCATGGATTCATATTGTGGGAAAATAAACTAAAACACAAATTATTATGTTGTTTCACATAGTTTTATCCAGAAACCGTACAAGTGTGCATTTAATTCTATTTTAAAAAGCCTTTTAAATAAACGTCAGTTATCAAAACAAAGTTATTCAGATTGAACCATGGTAAAACTAACCTAAAGTCTTCAGAAGAAAGCTATTTTACCTGAGCAATATTGATTTCAAAATTTCAAAATCTCCTTCAGAAGATACTGAACGGACATTTAACAATCACAAATCAAAGAAATATCGAAAATACCATGGTAAAACGACAAAAAGACAAACAATCTTCAAAACACTACATAGAAAACTAAAGACCTCGAAGGGATGACCTCAACTTTAACGGTTCTTTACCACTAGGAACCTTTGGTTCATTAGCTTTCTTGTAAGCAACAACTCTCTATCAAGGATATCATTATAGAAAACGCAAGCTCTTGAATATCGTATCAACTTGGAGATATATACTCCGTATGCAGGTGCTGATGGAATGTTTCTACATAAAAATGAAAAATTAATCGGTGAATCATCTCTCTTGTCGTAAAGATTGGTTCTCAACAAACCATCATTGTTAATTTCTAGATGTATGTCAAGATAAGAGGCAAACTGTGCTTAGCTGTATCTGTTCTATCATTTATTTCAAATTCAATGGGATAGATGCGTTTAATTAACAGAGTTACCAAACATAGCAATTGAAATGTTCGTACTAATGTGGTAGTACTGTCGGGAGGTAAGTGCATCATTTTACCGGATTACCGAAAATTCTTGCAATTTTGTTCTTAAATGTTCTTTTCTTCTGCAATTTCATAAACAACATTTGACTTTTGAAAATAGTAACCCCTTACACCAGTATTTCCCATTTCAAACATTGGATGTTGGATGTGTACTGATTGATATTTTAAGCTTAGAAACATAAGTTGTTATTGGCTTTGAACTATCTGTCAGTAACTGCCACTATACTCTCAGATCTGTACTTTTTGTTTTTGGGATGTATAAGTACCCGTCCACGTCCACTCTGTGTTTCTGTTAGATGTATTTCTATTTGTATCCATCTGATGAGTTAAGCCTTTTTCAACTAATTTTTATAGTTTGCTCTCATGTTGTACTGTTATACCACTGTCCCAGTTAAGGGAGAGGGTTGTGCGCTCACAAACATGTTTAACCCCGCCACATTCTTTATATGCCTGTCCAAAGTCAGGAGCCTGTAGTTCAGTTGTTGTCGTTGGTTCATGTCTGTCATATTTGTTTTTCGTTAATGGTTTTGTTATAAATTAGGCCGTTAGTTTTCTCAATTGAATTGTTTTATATCGGAGTCTGATATAGCCGACTATACGGTATGCGTTTTTCTCATTGTTGAAGGCCATACAGGTTGCCTATAATTGCTTACATCCACTTCATTTGAACTTTGGTAAATAGTTGTCTCATTGGTAATCATAAAACATCTCCTTATCTGTATATTAAAGACATATTGAAAGAATTTGTCTAACTTTTTTTTTATAAAAAAGAATGACCAACGTAGATACATGTATCTTGTTTTAGAGGGGGGATAAAAAATAACCGATTCAAACATAAAATTCTTAGAAACTGACATTATCAAGATACTTGATTTCTTGATTGACATTTGTTACGTTTTGAAGACATTTGTCAACAAACAATCGGCATTCATATGGGAACCAACTGTGTTCCTTTACTTGGCGTCTCATTCCTTTACTCATAAGAGGCAGACTTCATACAGAAGCTTCTTAAGAAAAATGAAAAGACGCTAGCATTCATTTATCCAAAAAACTTTCGCTATATTGATAATGTCCTGTTACTCAATAATTAAAAGTTTGGTGACTATATTTAATGCATCTATCCCTTCGAACATGAAATGAATGATACCACAGATACTGTTAAGTCTGCCTCAAATCTTGACTTATATCTAGAAATTGACAATGAGGGTCAGTTGAGAACTAAACTTACAACAAAATAAATGAATACAGCTTCCCCATTGTGAATTTCCATTTCCATGTAGCAACATTTCAGCAACGCCTGCATATTTAATATGTATCTCACAGTTGAAACGATATTCAAGAGTTTCCTTTTCACATCATGATTTCCTTAATATAGTGATGTTGCTTACACAGAAGCTATCAAAACAAGGGATCCGAGTCGTTAAGTTGAAGTTATACTGATGAAAATTTTACAGAAACCATCACGAGTTGGTTGACCGTAATAGAATATCTATTTCAGCGATATATCTTCGATGAGTTTTTACAACCATTTTGTCGATGCCACTGCTGGTGGATGTTTCATCTCTGAGGGTATCCCCAGTCAAGTAGCCAGCACTGTGTTAAAATATCATTCATATGTTCATTTTTCTAAAATCATACTATTTATGAAATGTTGAATTATTAGTACGAGAGACACTAAGGTTTTTCTACCCATATGTATATATTGTATTAGCTCTAATTGGCACAACTGCTTTGCATTTACGGTCTTCATCTCTTTGTATATGATTCGGCCTTCCAACTGTTCGAGCGTTTTATGTAAACGAAAGGCGTTTGTGGGGTCCAAATTATAAGCCTGGTTGTTGTTTCCACAGTCCAATCATCTTTTTCTCTAATGTGACATCACCGAATGAGACTTATCAGCGAATTTGTACATATATGAGCAACTCGATGGGTGCCACACTTGTAAAGTCACAATACCCAAATTGCGTCGAGTACCATATTTGCATCTATTTAGCCAAAATAGCAGCGGAAATCTTACAAATTTTCTTACAGACTAAACAATTTGTTTTTTTTTTATGATCTGACATTAACATGCACGTCTTCCAACATAACTAAATATATCTAAATATAAACAAAACGTTCACAGTATATATAAACAGATGAAGTATTCACTGGAAAAAGTCAAATCTACGGAAACGTGACCATTCGACACCCACAAAATGTCAACTTTTAAAAAGGAACAATTCAAATATGTTACAGACATCAATTTAAAAAAAAAATAATAGTAAACAGGGACTATTGTCAAATTGTTCTAAAAATTTGAAGAAATAAAACAAAACATCAGTTATTCGATTTCTACGGATGTGAATTTAAGCATGGATGCATTTTGGGTACTCCTCATTGCAGAATCATGGATCGTTTGGATGTCGGTTCAAACCCATTTTTCAATGATTCAATATAGATTCAAAACTATATTGGTGGAACAATATAGTAAATAAGGATACATCTTCAAAATAAACACAAAATGGAAACTTTTGTCTGGATCATGACAACATGTTGATTAAAAAACTGTCAAAATAGGTGAGATTTGGGTATCTTCGCGTTAGCAGGATCTGCTGCTTACCTTACCGGACCACATGCTATCACCCCTGTGTATGTGTGGTTCGTAATGCATTGTCTTTTTGTTGACTGTTGTTCGTGATATCGTTATTTTTCGTTTCTTGCCATAGCTTTGTCCGATTTATGTTGGTATATTCCGACTTTTTAATCATTAACAAGATTAAAAGCAAACTCCTGCATAACACATATCAATAAGGGCTAAAAAGGGCATAGAGAACACAGTTAACGAAAGCATCGGCTCAAGATATTATACGTTACCTTATTATTAATGGATGTACCAGCCATCTAAAACAGATACTGATATGCATATTATAATGACGGCGAACTCCCCAAAGATTGGAAGATGGCAAAAGAGAACAAAATTTACCAGAAAATTATATCGTTCATAATTCATAACATATGTTACCTGAAAAATCTTAGAACATATCATTTGTCGACATTTCTTGAAGCAACTTAAAAACAAAGACACACTTAATTACTAATTTAGACCAAGAATTTGAATCTGGATTCAGGAAAACATATCGTATATGTCTATCTAACTTCCTAAGCAAAAGAAAAATACGAACAGTTAAAGATTGAGAACCCTTGACTCTATATAGTACCACAGGGTAGTTTTGGAACCCATCTTGTTCTTACATGTATGCCATATGATGAACGATTTACCAGAGTAAAATAACCAATCGTTTGTTTACAGACGACTGCTTACTATCTATTATATATTGAACTATATAATCAAAACAGATGAAGACGACATATGATTGTAAGCAGACCTCACTTAAAAACCTGGATAAAACGAATGGAGTACACCGATTCCAATGCTATTTGATCCACTCAGTCAGCAAAAATATCAACTACATTAGACGACCACCTGATGCAACAGGTCACAAGACAACACTAAACTAGGACCAAAATCTCAAACGATTTAAATAGGAAAACTCATATTAACAACGTTTGAAAGAAAAAGCCAACAATAATTCCCGCAAAGAAACCCCCTTAATTTAGAAATGTACAAGAGTCATTCCCGAAAACAGCATTTATATCAATATTTAGATATGTTACGGAATATCATGGCGCGACGATATGCAAGTCATATATAAAAGAGAACATCGACACACTTTTTAAAAAACGTTACAAAGCCATGAAACTCATGAAGAAAGACTGCAACAACAGAGAGAAATGATTAATAACAAGGATGAAGAAAGAATTAGAATTTAAGTCACAGGAAGAACAACGACTCATCCTCCAGCTGATTCCTCTATACAAGGTTAGTTTTCTCAATTGATTTTTTTCATATTTTTCATGCCAGGGCCTTTTATAGCCGACTATATGGTATGAGTTTTTTCTCATTGTTGAAGGCAGTTATAAACACTGAGGTTGTGAGTTCGTATCCCGCAGATGCCAAGTGCGCTCCACTCCAATCTTAATTGACTTGGATTGTCAGTTTTCCTACCGAAGGTCGGTGGTTTTCTCCGGCTTCCTCTGACCAAAAAAAACTGATTGCCACTAAATAGCACAGTAGTGCTGAAAGTGGTGCTCAATACCAATTAATCAATCAATCATTGTTGAAGGTCGAATGGTTGCCTATAATTACTTTCATTCGCTTCATTTGAACTTTGTTGGATAGTTGTCTCATTGGCAATCATACCACATCTACTTATTTTCAAAAGGTGTTTGATTTAGAAGAAACACCGACATAGCTAGATAATACTATTAATTATCTAATTACTACCACATTTTATATTAATTAATATTGTAATTTTCATTGTTATTAATAAATGTTATATGAGTATTATAACCAAATCTTGAATTCTATCCTAATTCTATCCTATTTTTGGGGAAATTTCAGAAATTCAAATGTGACATCACCTTTTTTTTTGCGTTGATCTCTTTGGCTAACTCGGCTGTGAATTTTTATGTGCTGGTTTATGTTGTTTTATGTATCCGTTTTTATTATGTAGTTAGTCACCACTTCGGTGTTATCATGCATATCTAATATATAGTCCTTTTTTATAATTTACTGTTTGCAAAAGTATGAATTATTCTAAATACTAAGGATTTTCTTATCCCAGACATATAACCTTAGCCGTATTTGGCACAACTTTTTGGAATTTTGGTCCTCAATGCTCTTCAACTTGGTACTTGTTTTGGCTTTTGACCCTTTTTTGATCTGAGCGTCACTGGTTAGTCTTGTGTGGACGAAACGCGCGTCTTGCGTATTAAATTTTAAACCGGATACCTTTTGTTATCTATTATTCGTATGTTTCTCTGTCCTATATGTTCTCCCATTTATTTGTATTGTAGTCCTGTCATGTAATGTTGTCATTTTAATGTTATATTTAACATTGCCATAAAAGCGGGAGGTTTGGCTAGCCACAAAACCAGGTTCAACCCACCATTTTTTTCCTGTCCTGTACCAAGTCAGGAAAATGGCCATTGTTATATTATAGTTCGTTTCTGTGTGTGTTACATTTTAATGTTGTGTTTCTGTTGTGTCGTAGTTCTCCTCTTATATATGATGTGTTTCCCTCAGTTTTAGTTTGTAACCCAGATTTGTTTTTTTCTCAATCGATTTATGAATTTCGAACAGCGGTATACTACTGTTGCCTTTATTTGAGGAGTTTATTTCCCCCACTTTAGTACAGTATTCCAACTTCACCTGCATATGGAATATACATTTCCCAACTCGTTCGGTATTCAAGAGTTTGCAGTTGCTACTCAGACAATATAAATCGTCACCAGTGTCTGAGTAGAAAGTTGATGAACTAGGGTTTTGTCAAAGAACGTCCGGTACTGAGGTTGTTTATCATCTGAATCACGTTATAGTATTCTTTTTATATGTCTTTGTATATTTTTAATCTTTACTGTTTAGTCTATTTTTGGTAATATACTTTTCGCGTGGCTCAGTATTTATACATCCTGTCATTGTGTTATTGTGGTATGGTCATTTTTGTATTCTTGTCTTTTAATTTTGCTCATGAACTTTCTCCATAGTGTGTCTATATGCCATTTTGGTTTTCTTTGTTGAAATAGATTAGTTTTTATAGTGATTAAGATTATAAAACAATGTTGACTGCTGTACCCCAATTTTTTATATTCTTACCTATTATGTCTGTTTGTTTTGCTCACACATTATTGTCAATATAATGGAATTATATGCGACTGTCATACAAGTGAGAGGTTTAGCTAGCTATAAAACCAGGTTAAATCCACCATTTTCTCAATAAGGAAATGCCTGTACCAAGTCAGGAATATGACATTTGTTCCCCATTCGTTTGATGTGTTTGAGATTTGATTTTGCTATTTGTTAGAGGACTTTCCATTTTGAATTTTCATTGGAGTTCAGTATTTTTGTTTTTATCTTTTCACTAAACTGACTATTGTGACTGAAAAGTATACAGAATGCCAATACAGTGTTACACAATGAGTAAAATCATCACCTACATTTTTTTGGCTATATATTTAATATGAACCCATGTTTTTTTCAAAGAATTATTGTGTCAATTTTTTTTGGCTATATATTTAATATGAACCCATGTTTTTTTCAAAGAATTATTGTGTCAATTCTGGTTCGGTCTTAATCAACTTGGTACCAATAGAAGCAAAATTGTCATAAGTTAATTGTATTTGTTTGGTTACATCTTTTTTCTGAAGCGTTTTCATTTTAAGAGCATATGAACACACACATCTTATTTTTTGTCCAGAAATTTGCTACATATTTTAACCAAATTAAATTGTAAAAAAAAAAGAGTTATATTTGTTCCCATCAGGAAACAAAACCACTGAAGACAAAATTATGACCAAGTTAACAAATACACTTATGACACTTACCCATCTTTCAACACCTGGTTTGTAAAATTTCTACCATAAATGCCTTCAATTTTTTTTTTGTAAAAAATGTGTTTTTATATGAAATATAGCAAAAAATTTAAAGTGGCAAATGACTTTTTCATATCATTGTACATAAGCTAGATATAAACCAACTGACAAATGGATATTTCTGGTTCTTTGTCCAACATTAATAATAAGAAATAGATACAAAATCATTATTTAATTACAATTACAATTTCTTGAAATAATATTACATAACAGAATGTTTAGGTGTCTTATATTTTTCCTCATCTGTTTATTCTTCTACGTATCCAGGAGGATATGTCAAAACTACGGATGATGGACAATTTGGTGTCTGGCAGCATTTTCCTGGTGCTGGTGGATTCATCTTGCATTGACTTGGTAAACTCCATTTTACACATCTATGAAAGAGAAAGTATAAACATAATTAGCGACAAAAGTTAAGAACATGTATTTTTTTTCCAAGAATGAAACTAACTTTTCTTACTGGTCAGACATATTTCTTTATCACAAAAACCTTAGCCATGCTTTCATTTGACAGTATATTGAATAACTGCACTTTACAAGAGCATTCAAGAGCAATAAAATGGTACCTTCTCGTGTTCATGTGTCATAGGATTTAAGAAAATTTATTACTTTTCAAGATGAGAATAGTAAAGTGCTCCTTAGTGACATTAGTATGCTAGACATTTGCTTCTAGTGAATTCAGGAATATTCTGCTATGGTCCCACAGAACATAACTAAATTTAGCAAGTAAAATTCTGTAATATCGACTGTTTGAGGTACAAGATGGCCAAAACAAGTTTTATTCTACTGTATTATTACAATGTCTTCATTTAAACGTTATTTTTTTTAACAATGTCTTCATTTAAACGGAATTTTTTTTCTACAATGTCTTCATTTAAGCGGAATTTTTTTTTACAATGTCTTCACTTAAGCAGTATTTTTTTAAAAAGTTAACCAATTAGCTGACAATGAGAACAATTTATGAACGCTATACCTTGCTGTAGTCATGAAGACAAATAAAAAAATTCAGCTGCTTCTAATTTTTCAATAGAGACTGTAAAGGCATAATTTCTAAGATCCAAAAACAACATTGATGCAATGTGTAATATTTAATATGCTTACTTTTCTTTACAAGTATAATATCCACGAGAAGCATCGGTACATGTGCACTTATAGTCACAGCCATCATCAAATGTTTGTCCTTGCTGGTAAAGTTTTCCTGTCTTCTGGAATAAACATCCTGTACCTTGACCTAATAAAACCAATATATTTTTATGAATTAAAATCAGGGGATTCATGTCTTTAAAAATAAACAATTGAAAGAATGTTCAACATTAATACTTTTGTATATTTTAAATGTTCTCTGTTTCTTTTATTGTTGAGTGTTAGTCTCAGAGATGGATTCCACAAAAATATGCTTAAATTTATATCAGGCCAAAAATAAAATTTAATTGGATGTTGTCTACCTACCTGAATGTTATGACACTAATCATTTCAAATTTCTTTTAAAAGTTTTTTTTCCTGCTTTAACATTGTTTTCTTGTCTAAAACATGTAACTCGTGTTGCTGACAAAAAAAATAAAATCCCTACCTACTTACCCAACCCTACAAGGCATGGTTAGGCAACATCAAACAAAGAATTGTTTAAGAGTGGCCTTATCATGGTACATTATATTCAAATTTTTCAAAAGTATTAGCCCTGTTGATCTTTCTTTGAGAATTAGGTTTTTTCTCACTATCAAAATGGTAAACCATATAGTTCTTTTCTTGAAGGTGCTTTTTAAATGGTATTTCATTTTTTTAAATTAGATTTCAGAAAGACCATATTGCAATAAAAATACATAAATGTAGTATTATACAGGAGACAAGTTTCAATCTCTCAATGTTATTGGTTTGTGCTTATCTTCTGGTCAATTGAAAACAAACGTTTTCAAATCAACACATGCATGTGAGATAAACAAATCTTCAAGGAGATTAAATACCTGTAAAGGTACCAGAACCACCTGTTCCGGTCATGCTACCAGTTCCAGTTCCTGAGCAGACTGGTTTGGCACAACATTCACCCTGTGCCTTCTGTAGTGTGCATCCTTGTGGAAGGTTAGTATAAGTTCCACATCTGAAAGTAAAATATCATAAAACTGACTGATATTTCATTTTTTTAATTACTTAAAAAGTAATCCCTGAAAATATATGTCTACAGTGATCTGTGTCTAGTCTCAATGGTCTCTTTACATTCATTTAGATCCATGTACAGTAATATAGGAACGTTTTACTATTCCACTTCAAAATGTACATTTCTACTTCCAAAGCTCTGCATATGTTAAATGCTGCAAATCTTAATTATATGTTCATGTGTACTTACAGAGCTCTACATGTGTACAGTCCTCTAGATCCGTCTGAGCATGTGCAGTTGTAATCACATCCATCGGTCCACTGTTCTCCATTTTGGTGGAGCTGATTCTTGTAATAACATCCACCACCTGTAGAAATAAATCATGTTTCTTAAAACAATGCAAATTTAAGTAATATTTTCAGAATATCAAAAGTAAATTTAAGTAATATTTTCAGAATATCAAAAGTGAATTAAAGTAATATTTTCAGGATATCAAAAGTAAATTAAAGTAATATTTTCAGAATATCAAAAGTAAATTAAAATCAAAGTGCTTGTGGGGTAAAGACTGCTTTCAACAGTTACCTTGGTGTATTAGCATTTACACCTCTCCATGTTAATAATCCTGATTTCAAAGGATTGCAATGGATATCTAATATTTTTATCCCAAAAATAAGGTAAACTTGTGTTATCATTCTTTGTTCATTACTGGGATGAAAGAAGAAGTACAGCACCTATGTTTGTTGCATTCTGGGTTAAAATAGTATTATGAGAATTTGAAGTTCAGAAACAAATATTTACAAAGAATTGAAGCTTGAGGTAGTGCACAAATTTGTCTCTTTTCCCTTTCTGCATAGAGATTTTTGGACATTGACATTATTGTCATGAAATGATCAACTGGTAAATCTTTCATAACTATAAGATTCATTTTTCAGTCCAAAGGACAGTTTTCTTAAATTTTGACAAAATGTGTTTTAATGCCACAAATTTGGAAATCTTAATCAATCATTTTAAATAACATTAAAAATTTCAACACAAGCTGATATAAAATAAAATATATAACAAATCAACACTCTTTTTAATGTGGGGTGCTGTATAGGTGAAAGGGTTGATACATATACATACCAGTTCCTGTAAAGGTCTGACCAGGAAAGGCTGTCACAAAGGATCCACCTGTTCCTGTTCCTATGAAAACAAATGAACTATTTATAGTAACATAAAATATGAAGCAACATCTATCCTAATCATGTTAATTATTTGCATGAGATATATAAAAAAAGGAAATTTGGTATGATTGCCAATGAGACAACTATCCCTGAGACCAGAATACATGAATCTAAATTGAGCTTGAGGTCACCTTAAGGCCTTCGACAACAAGTAAGGCAAGAACTTTATAGTAATTAAACTATAAAAGGTCCTGGAATGACAAAATGTGAAATAATTCAATAACGAAAACCATAGCCTTATGTTTGCAAAAGGAAAAAGGAATATGGTAGACAGATGTATAATTAAGAATTCTTGAGTATATAATGTTCAAGTTATTATACAATGCCTCTATGAATGAAATAAAATTCTTCTTTCAATTCTCATGACAAATGACATTAGGTTTTATTTGTCATATGACATGATGCCACTAGTGGCTTTACTTATTTGTGTAATGTTCTGATGACAGTTTAGACAGAAGAGGAAGGAAGTCACAGAGAAAATAAATTAGCTTGTGTTGTCAAAAGTAATAAGCTGGAATGAATTTAGTTTGAATGTATTTCCTCTGCAAACTTCTATAAAAGCATACATATTAGCATAATCCATTAAAATGTCTAGGCTATATTCATCTTAATTGCAGGGCTTACACTACTTCAGAATCATAGGGAGGAGTGACTTCTCTTTTTGAAACTGATAGGGAGAAGTGGTGAGATTTGAAAGAGAAGTGCTCCTTTGCGCATTCCGCTACAATGTTTTGATTTTACTATAGTATAAAGGGTCATATGTAAATAATGTTCTTTTTATATTGTTCAATTCATATCTGAGTATACAATTAAATGAACAGTTCAAATTCAAAGTTGTTTCAGTTTAGGTTCTTGTGAGAAACTACCAACTTAATATCTAGCACTAAAAAGAATTTTTTTTATGTCAAAAAGGTAAAAAAATTATAATATATGAATTACAAATCAATTAAAAACTATCGTGTTTATCATGTTTATGAAATTCAGTGTTTCTCATCAAAAGATATACAAAGTTAAGCTGGGCCATAATATATTGATATTAGTAGTTAAGCAACTTTAATCAATATTTTGAAACAATCCATATAAATTATATGGAATTATATACATTAATCAATTAGATCTAACCAAAAGTCTGTTAATGCGTGTGGAATGCGTAATTTTTCCTTTTGGGATCAATATTCTTCTGTCAGCTGTTCCATTCATGTGTCCGTACTTATTATTGTAAAAATACGGATTTCGGTCATAGCTGGTCCGGTTCTGATCCGTAGTTAGTAAACGGTTAATGCGGACGAAGAAAATTTACAAAAATAAACTATGTTTGATAAGCTATTTGGAAAGGAATATGATGCTTTTAATGCAATAAATGGATTAAACATTTACTGAAGGCAACTTTTATCACTTTCAAATGAAGTAACAAACTTATTTTGCCGCCAAAATTTAGATTGATGTACGCTCTCTGAGTAACAAGTACCGGAAGTGCATGCAGTGATAAAAAGTTGTCTTTTTATTAAATAACCTGCTACACACTGTAAAGTCAATGCTTAAACCTCTTTTCTTAAGAAAATGAATCGTTTATGTCTGAATTTCTTTAATAATCAATAAAAATTGATGTTTTATCAACTTGGTAAAAATTTAAAATGTCCGATGACGAAAGCGACTGAAAGCGAGTATCGTATATAAACAACAGGGTGACTTGTTTTTCGCTTTTGAGGATTGGGCAAAGCCAAGTGACGGACGGGAAAGCGACTTCTTCGCCCTGGTCGCCTGGTAGCGTGAGCCCTGAATTGTATTAGTATCAAGATATTCAACATTCTATATTTTACAAAATATTGCAAAAAAAACCTTGAAATGGTATGAATTTGCAGTTCCACTATAGTTGTATCTTTTGGTTATTTTTTTCATTGGGTTGTCATCTAATGTCTTTCGGTTGTATTTTATCATTGAGTTGCTGTCTTATGTATTTTGGTTTTTTTTTTTTCATTGGGTTGCCATCTAATGACTTATGGTTATCATTTTTTATTGGAATGCTTTCTATTTGACTTTTACCCCAAATCTCCTTTTATTCATATTGCATATTTTAGTATGACAGGGAACCAGTTACTTACCTGTACCACCAGTACCAGTTCCTGTTATAACACCACCATTGGTACCTGTCCCTGTCATAGTACCACCTCCGGTACCAGTTCCTGTCATAGTACCACTTCCTGATCCTAAAACAAAAATGTCAAATATGATCATTACAATAAAATAATGTGTGTCTATATGAATGAATTGACATTCATTTACACAAAAGTTCCTAAAATATACAATATCATTTCACTCTTTTTTCTATCCTACCTTAATTTGTCCTTGATTTTTCAGTGTCATGCAGTTTTAAATTTTCTACCCTTTTCCTTGTCCATGCACAATTCACTTTTTTAAATACAATAAGAACTTGTTTTACCTGAATATGCAACAAATATTTGTCACTGAATATCTTTCAAAAGAAGGGACAAAAAAAATCTACAATAAATATAAAACAAGAATGTCCATGTTGACGTACTAAGCAAATTTCCACTGGGTCTCACTCATTAGTGACGAACAGCATCAAAAAGCCACAAGAAGAATAATTTAGCAACAAGAAGACTAATTTAACGACAAGAAAACAAATTTAGCGTCAAAAAATCTAAATATCAACTATTTCAAATAAATAGATATAGAAACATGCATTAAATAGTGTTTTTTTAATATACATGTATTTTAATCATTTCATTAAAGATAGGTTTTTTTTAATATACATGTATTTTAATCATTTCATTAAACTGATAGAAGATAATGAACATTTGTTCAAGAAAAGATTTTTTTTATTATTGAGGATCTGTTTAAGATAATACATTTACAGTATACAGCATATATATAGTATATTAGTAAAGACATGACTAAAAAGGGAGAGGGTTTATTCCTTTGTTCTTAAGTTTTAAAAACATTCTTTATGGACACTTAGTATAATCAGATGATGGAAGAATTAGCTCATCCCATGTTCTCTTATATTTAGAGTTATTGCCATGTGCTTTTTTTTTACATAACTTATTTATCAAGATTACTTCACTATTGCGACACCATTATGATTGTGGGATTGTAACAAAATGTTCAGATTTATAATTTATACTTTAAAATAATTTTTGTTACTAAAAATTTACTACAAGAAGGCAAAGCTACTAAATGCAACAACATTTGAAAGTTTATAAAACAATTATAACAACCTGTAACAAATTGACTTTTTTTAATAATTTTATTGTTTAGATAGTTTAAAAAAACTTTCTTGTCGCTAATTATTTTCTTCTTGCCGCTAATTTTTCTTCTTGTCACTTCTTGTCGCTAATTAGTGAGACCAAACCCCCACTTGTAATTCAAAGTGCTCACACTTTATAACTCATCACAATTCCATTACATGAATTAAATAACAAAACATTTTAATTTAATTTATAAACCTTTATGAAAATATAAAACTTTTCCTTACATATTTGTGTCATTTAACTTTTTTTTATCCTTTTATATAGAATAAATACGAAAAATAAAAGCAGAGCAAACCATTGGTCATTACATGTATGACATCAGACAATTAAAAAGTTTTCTTCTTCATTACTGAGCAAAAACACTTACCACAGAATCCACAGAATTTGGCACAGTTCTTTTGGGCCCAGCTGAGATAGGGTTCTTGACAAGAACTTTTGGTGAACTGAACACAGTTAGGTAGGACATCCCTACAGGTTCCACCTAAAATAAATATTGCAATAATATGTATAGTCAAACAATCCAATAATAAATAGCAAAATAGCAGAAACACTTTTTCTTGAAACTGCAATTCTAACGTGAGGGTACCAAAATTGCACCTATTTTAACAGTTTTTTCACCTACATTTTAATATTTAAAATCCAGACAAAAGTTTCCATCCTGTGTTTACTTTGTAGATGTATCCTTATTTACTTTATAGTTCCACAAATTTAATTTTGAATCCATACTGAATCATAGAAAAATGGGTTTGAACCGACCTAACAACCAAAGATTCCGTAATGAGGATTATCCAAATTGCATCAAAGCTTAAATTCACATCTGTAAAAATCGAAAAAACTGATGTTTTGTTTTAATTCTACACTTTTTTAAGAAGAACTTGACAAAAGTCTATGTGAACTATTTGTTTTTTTTCAAATGGATGCATCAGACAATTTTAATTGCTCATTTTTAAAAGCTGACTTTTTGTGGACATTTTTTCCGTATATTTTACATTTCTCACTGGATACTTCATCTGTTGATATATAATGTGACTGTTTTGTGCATATCTAAATATGTCTAATATTTAGATATTTTGAAAGACATGCATAATGGCAATTTATAAAACTACATATGAATTGATAGTTACCTATTTTACACAAATCAAATCCTAAAACATGTTACTAGTATTCAAAAGCAATGTGGGATATTGGTCAAGTTGACTACATCAGCAACCCAAAAATATAAATAATGCAAAGTATTATAAAAGCTGTATTGTATTACCTGTGCCTGTTCCAGTAATTGTACCTCCACCAGTTCCAGTACCTAACAAAGGGAGATAATTCTATATAATAACTCCTCATGAATGGTATTAATTTCAGAAAGTAAAGTAAGTGAACAAGTTGAAAATCCTAAAAATCCTTAAACTTATGAGAACTTAATAAAAAACATTCTGCAAAGGTAAATCACAATAAATTATTATTTGAAATATAGTAAATTAATCAAACTGCCAAATCACATGCATTAATCAATAAATGTAATCAACATCAATTTCTTAAATTTTACATTTTTTCATAATATAGTATATGTATAAAAGAGGAAAATAAAAAGATAGTTTATTGTGCTATATATTGAAAATAAGCTTATAAATTTTCATAAAAAATCTAGTGTCTGGATTTTTAATAAAGAAGGTATGGAGAGTGGTAAAAGAAATACAATCAACTAGAAAACTGTCAAGTCAGCATTTGCCCCATTGCACATTTAAGTGAAAGGCACAGAAGGCTTCTTAAACATTCTCTATGGATGGTTGGTTGTCCAATTCAGTGATGGACCCTAATGTATTTTTTTTCTAAAACAAACCTTAATGAAACAGAATGTGGCTCTCATTGTATACAAGAATCTCATTTTAAGAAACATTCAAAGCAGATGCATATTAACACAATGCATAGTGAGATAATTTAATTTGGTAGTTTTGGGTGAGAGAAATTTTTCAAATTTGTTCAGTTTACAGGGGAATCCCCAAATTTCATAACACCCAAATACAGAAACACAATGAAGATGACACTCAATAAATAAGAAATGATATGTTTGGCTGCAAAATGTGACGTGGCTATTCAAGAAGTGATTGCAGAATTTAAACTGGAATTGCAAAATTTGAAGAAACCTTAAAACATGATATTATTTGAATTTGGATTAATTTGAATTCTGGAAATTTTATAAGAAATGTATGATGAAAACTAACCCATCTATGGAGGGTTAAACATACAAGCATGGCTAAGGTTCAAGTTACTTTCACTGATATTTCAGTATGAACAAACTAACTCAGATCTGTACTTAGTGTCCTTTTTGTTGTTAGGGATGAGGTATGGATAAATATCCTGCCACGTCCGGTCTGTGTCTATGTTTGAAGTTTTCTGCTTTGTATCAATCTGATGAGTAAAGCCTTTTTCAACTGATTTTTATAGTTTGTTCTTATGTTGAGCTGTTACACCACTGTCCCAGGTTAGGGAGGAGGGGGGGTTGAGCGCTCATAAACATGTTTAACCCCGCCACATTCTTTATATGATTGTCCCAAGTCAGGAGCCTGTAGTTCAGTGGTTCATGACTGTCATATTAATTTTTCGTTAATTGTTTTGTTATAAATTAGGCCATTAGTTTTCTCAATTGAATTGTTTCATATTTTTCATTTTGGGCCTTTTATAGCCGACTATATGTTATGGATTTTTCTCATTGTTTAAGGCTGTATGGTTGCCTATAATCGCTTACATCCACTTTATTTGAACTTTGGTGGATAGTTGTCTCATTGGCAATCATACCTCATCTCCTTAATTTAATATTTATAACCATATAAACCTTTCATATAAATTTCATAAAAATCTGGCAAGAATTGTACATGAGAGAACACTAAACAAGACTGGACTGATGCCAGGTATTTCCATGTAACCTGCACCATGTTGTGCAAGGGTAAAATATTAGATGTGGTATGATTGCCTATGAAACATGTGTCTACCAGAGTCTATATGATGTTGATAAACACCGGATACTGCCTTTAAGTAATGTGTCCAATATGGTAATGGCATGTGACATTTTATTCCTCCCATTCCCTTCATTATCATTATTTAAAAAGATTCAAGGACTAAACAAAGGAGAAAATACTCGTCTTGACAGTATTCTAAATATTACTAGCCAAATAACTCTTACATATACAAATCTTCCATAAAAGTCTTAAACATACAAGTTTATCAGAAAACTCACCTGTACCTGTCATTGTGCCGCCTGTACCTGTGCCTGTGCCACCTGTACCTGTGCCGGTGCCACCTGTACCTGTACCTGTCATTGTGCCACCTGTTCCTGTACCTGTGCCTGTACCTGTGCCTGTACCTGTTCCACCTGTGAATAAAGGACAAAAGGAAATTTTTTAATTAACTTAACTTTAACAACTTTTCCTCACAGAAATACATTGTTCATGCTAGCAGCTTTGTATGATTTTAAAAGAATATTGTAAATTGTTGTTTTAATTTTTTGATAAACAAAAAATATTTTTGGTTTAAAGCAAATTTTCTCTCTCATAAAAAAATTTATGGTGATATTCAAATTAAATAGCAAATTTACTTAGTTGCTAATATAAATATTATGATATAACTCTTTAATGATGACTTTTAGCAATTTAAAACTCACAGCATCATTGACTGTATCTCACAAGTTTTTCTCTTACAGCACTGATTATAGTTATGGGACTAAGTCTTGTTTATTTCCCAGAGAATACAAAGGAATTTTTTTTATGCAATATCAAACTGTTGACAAAATTTTCATGTTGGAAATACCAGTAAAAGAAAATAATGAATGATCGATCAAACTGAAACCTGTCAAGAAGTATGGTAGCCAAATTTAGGCTACAAGGAGGTGTATAGTTACATTTTCAATAGAAAAGTACTTTGATCATTATTTAGCAAAAATGAGAATAAGACAATATTTTTTTCTGCAGTTGCAACTGAAATGGGAAATACCAACATTATTGAAAATTAGTATATTTGTCTGGATTGATTTAATTAATGAATGTTTTAACTGTATAATATATTCTCAAAATAACTGAGTAAATAGTAATAGCTTAAGTATTGGGTAAACTAGTTTGACCATAAACCAGTGTTTGTGTCACTGTGTCTTTGGTTTTGTTAAAGAACATAGAGTTAATGTCACATTTTTTTAACCTCTGTCAAGTTTACTTACAATTTAGACACTTTTAATTATAAGGTACAAACTATTGAAGAATTGAAGAAAATTTGAAAAATTATTGGTATGGATTTTTTAACATAATTATCTGTCATGTCTGTATAACATAATACTTACCACACAAATTACAGAATTTAGGACAATTATATTCAGCCCAGCTGACATACTGTCCAGTACATACACTGTTGGTGTAGTCTTTACAGTTAGGAATCCTGTCAATACAAATTGTAGATGGTGCTGGTGTTGTTACAGGACCTGTAATAATGGTATAAAATGACTTATTCAATAAAACATCTAGATAATTTGACAGTGCAAAACATCAATATAATGATTGAAACTAATATATAATATGTATCCTTTTTTCCTTCTAAAATTTCACAAGTTTATAATTTTTTAAGGAAAGTAATCTATTCAGGGAATAATCCATATCTATTTAGTAATGCTTCTCTGTGGATTCATTATTATTCATGGGGCTACCAATTTTTGTTAATTTCGTGGCTGGTGGGTGAAAATACATGAAAATTGGTACCCACTAAAATAAACATATCCATAGTAATTTATTTTGTGGTTAATTTGCCAAAGTTTGCATACAACTCTATAGAAAATTTGTACTTCATTGAACATTTGATTTTATGGTTTACCTATACAGAAGAAGACTGTTATCCCACAACTAATAATGAATCCACAGTATCAAGTTTTCATAACTGACCTGTTGTTCCACAGAATCCACAATATTTAGCACAGTTGTCCTTTGCCCATCCATCATATGGTTTGACGCAAGCATACTTTCCAAACTGGTTACATGTAGCAATTTTGTCTGAACAGGAACCAGATGAAGTTGGGGCACAATCAGCTTTCTGACAACACTTGTCACTAACATCAGGAACCAGCTGACAATTTGGTGGAAGTGTACCATATCTTGGACATCTGTGTAATAGGAAATATTAGCATGAAATTATTTTCTAAAAAACAGATCTTTTGATTAGAATTTAACTTGAAATCATCAAAATAATGAGTCATTAAGATTCAAACTAGACAAAAAAATTAGAAATCATAGCTTCTGGTATTTATGTAGTGTGTGTAACAAAACTATCAGAATATCAATAACACATTAATCCTTCAAGTTCATCAGATTTGTAAATAAGGACACTGGCTGACAAGTCCTTCTTAACTGAACAGTACTGTCTAAATAACTACACCATATTAAAGAAGGTTATGGTATTTTTAAGGATTTCTGATTGACTGAAATTTTTCCAAATTATCTTTAAAGGCTTATAGATTCCCTAGTACTTATTCATGGTTACCATTGACTGTGAAAACGACTTTACAGCACACAGATTTTTACTTTTCATAAGCATTGTTGCAGGTGCAAATTGTGGAGCAGAAACTGCAATCTCCTGATTACTTGATTTCATTCCCCGTTTTATAGTTCATATTGCTAAATCTTGAGTTGTCTGTGTGATACATGTAGTTAGTGAAATTTTGTTTGACTTTTTGTCTTTCTTCATTTTGTCTAAGTTTTAATCTGACATTCTTCATCATTTCAGTAACCTCCTAAGTATCTTTCAATTTTTATTATTCATGAATGTCAATTTCCTTCTTGTTTGTCTAGTTTAAATGAATTTAGATTAAATGCAAAACAAATAAAAGGAAGGTATAACTTTAACTTCTCTTCGATATTCAATTTTGCAGGACTGTGGATTAATTATTAATTTGTCAAATCCACAGAATCAAGGATTCACGAAAATACATTTATTTTTTCCTCAATCCACGAAAATTGGTACTAATGAAAATTATTGAATCCATAGTAAAAGTGATCTACAAAATCTAAAATTTGTATCATACAAATTCTGTAAATAAAACTGTGATTGTACTTTGGACCCATACCTATCAGTACATCTGTATTGTCCAGACTTAGCATTAATACATTCACAGTCATAATCACATCCATCATGCCAAGCTTCTCCTTGTTGGTGGATCCTGCCCTTGTAAATACAGGCATCTAAAAAATAGATATTAAGGCTATAAATAAAATGAGGGAAATATATTATATGCTTATAAAACAAAAACATACATAACACAATTGAAAGCCTGAATTCAAATTAGCAATGGAAAGCTGCTGTTAATTTTCAGTCACTGCAACTGGTATATATTGTCAAAAGAATAATCCCATACAACATAAGTTGAGGAAGGCTCTTATATAAAATCATGTTACATATCATATACAAACTAGATATGGACAATGCCCCCCCTCCCTTTTCTGCTCTGCCGTATGCAGGAGTATAGTTCCACATATTTTAGATTTGACAAACAGTGATGTTGGCATACAACTTAAAATTGTTACGCTGTTACACAAATGATGCCCCCACCTAACCAAAAAAATGACTAAGTCCAACTACCTGTCATTTTCAGAATATTTGAAAAAAACAAAACAAAATCCTGTGGCCATGCACACCTCCATTATGTGTATAAACATCCTACAAAATATTAAAGCTGTACTTCCAAAACTGTAGGAGGAGATAGCCAGACAAACCATGATCTCTTTATGCAGCTTGTACCGAAAAAAAAAATGACCAAGACCAACTACCTGTCATTTTCAGAATATTTAGAAGAAATCAAAATCCTGCGGCCATGCACACCTTCATTATGTGTATGAACATCCTACAAAATATTAAAGTTGTACCTCCAAAACTGTAGGAGGAGATAGCCAGACAAACAATGATCTCTTTATGCAGCTTGTACCGAAAAAAAAAAATGACCAAGTCCAACTACCTGTCATTTTCAGAATATTTAAAAAAAAATCAAAATCCTGTGGCCATACACACCTTCATTATGTGTATGAACATCCTACAAAATATTAAAGTTGTACCTCTAAAATAGTAGGAGGAGATAACCGGACAAAAAATGTATCCTAATCCAGACGGACGAAAGGACGAACTGACGAACGGACAGACGGACAGGGGTAAATTAATTTGCCTCTCGCCATTTTGTCGCGGGGGCATAAAAAGTGCTTCATATACTTTCCTCTGTTTACAGTAAGATAAAAATATAAGAGCCTACCAGTGATATAAAGTTTTGATATATATTTATTTAATACAGTTTCATCATCATAGATGAGTTGTTGCCAAGAAAATAGCAAAAATATAACCGTCACAAATGATTTCCAGTACAAGCATATCAATATACAATATGACTTGTTATTTCTGACTTCACTCTTTACAGCAACATTGAGTAATAAATGCTTAGATAGAGGTGTCCTTTGTGATTAAAACTTACTGTCTTTCAAACTTAGAGAAAAATGATTTTGATGAAAGTATACATATAGTATGTGACTGCATTTATGTTAAGAAATTGTATATATAACACAGAGGAACCACAATATATTCAAGCAAGAGCTTGAACTTATTATGTGGACATCATTTGTTATAACAAAAACCAAAAGTTCACATTTTGTTTTATTTTTTGTATAGTACACATTCTTTCCATACCTATTTCTTGTTAGTACAGACAAAATGTTTGTTTTAACAAACCACTTTCCAATGATTGTGGGACACATAGTAACAGGTTTTTTTTATGGATTCCTCATTTTTGTATGTAATAATTTGTTGGTTGTACAGTTATAAAATCATATAAAAACAGAATTCTTGTCTTTTATTCTAGCCATGGCATCAAAATAATTCATATGTTCTATTACAACAAAATGAAGTGTGCATACTTGAGTATCCAGTTTGTGATATCTGGCTTCCACTTCCTGAGAGAGCTGGGGGTTTTCCGTATCCAGTAAAGCTACCACTGAATCCAGCTGGATTAAATCCACTGGTTCCTTGTCCAATTGTTCCTGTGACACTGCACTGTGGAACTCGACAACAGGTTGGGTCTTTTGGATCAGGTACATACTGGCAACCAAGTGGAATGTTCTCAAATTTGCCACACCTAAAACATGACACAATATCATAACCAGTTCTTTTTAATATTAAGCAAGTTGGTTCACTAACTCATAATTTTGCCCTAAAAATCTTAGAATTTTTAACTGCGTTGATAGTTGGTAGAATTTGATGAAAACATATGATAAATGTCTAATTGTTACAGTTTTAAAAAGATTTTCACCACTTATAAATGTACGCGAATTTCAATAAAACCTGATTTTTTGCAAAATTTATGACAGTTATCTGAAAAATTAACAGTGAAACCACCCCTCTCCCAAACATATTTTTTCTTTAAATAACATATTCTTTACTTTCAACCAAAATTTCAATGGGCGAGGGGTGGCACCACATATAATAAAATGCTTTGCAGAGCGCAGCCTGATACGACCGCAGAGGTCGAACCTTGACCAGTTGGGGCAATTTTGGACACAATATTCAAGCTTGATACTGTCTGAATTTGGATTGTGATCAAATTTTTGACATAATATAGGTTTCTGACACAAAATAAATGTGGTCAAAGAGCTTAAAAATTTGAAATGGGACATTCATTTTACCTAGAATGGTCTGATATCCAAAATCTAACAACATGGTTAGATTCAGCATATAAAAAAACACCAAAAAATTTAATTTTAGTTGAAATCAATCAAAAGTTTAATTTTGGACCCTTCAAACCTTAATATGGACTAATTTGAAAACAGGGCCCAAAATAAAAAATCTAAATACACAATAAGATTCAGCATATCATACAGCTGCAATCATTCAGTTTTTGATGAAATCAAACAAAGTTTAATTTTGGACCCTTTTGACCTCAATGTAGACCAATTTAAAAATGGGGCCAAATATCCAAAAAAGTAATACAAGGTAAGAACCCCCAAAAATTAAAGACTTTAAATGAATCCCATTGAAATTGGTTAAAAGATTTGTATTTATTTTCAATTGAAGATTTCTTGCTATTGCACAATACTGTGCAATTGAAGATTTCTTGCTATTGCGCAATACTGTGTAATTGAAGATTTCTTGCTATTGCGCAATACTGTGCTATTGTGCAATACTGTGCTATTGCGCAATACTGTGTTGTTGCGCAATACTGTGCAATTAAAGATTTCTTGCTTTTGTGCAATACTATGCAATTGAAGATTTCTTGCTATTGCCCAATACTGTGAAATTGCCCAATACTGTGCAATTGGAGATTTCTTGTTATTGCGCAATACTGTGCAATTGAAGATTACAAAAACTTTGAAGAAAAAAAATATGAACCCCAAAAAATTGGGGAAAAAAATCCCCCCCCCCCCCCCCCCCCCCCCCCCCCAGTACAATTTTAGAGAGATCCATACACTTACACACAAGTTATTGTCTGGAAACTAGAAAAAATGCAATGAAGTTTATTAAACTAAAGTTATTGGCAAATTTCCAATGAAATTTATTAAAAATAAAGTTTTTAGCAAATTTCCAATGAAGTTCATTAAACTAAAGTTATTGGCAAATTTCCAATGGAATTTATTAATAATAAAGTTTTTGGCAAATTTCCAATATACATAATTTAAAAGCAGTTTAGGTGAGATAAACAAAAAAGCTCCATCAGCAACATTTTATATTGGCAAATTTCCAATGAAGTTCATTAAACTAAAGTACTTGGCAAATTTCCAATGGAATTTATTAATAATAAAGTTTTTGGCAAATTTCCAATATACATAATTTAAAAGCAGTTTAGGTGAGATATTCAAATGAGTTTCAATTACCAACCTTACACTGCCTTTTAAATTATGTTTTGTACTTAAGTAATTGTCCATTAACCTGGAAACCCTTTTCCCCCCTTTTTTGCACCTTATTCCTTAACGGTTTGAGCCATAACTCCCAAAGACAATTCTTACCATCCCTTTGTGGTATTCCAATATCCAAAATCTAAATCCATGGTTAGATTCAGCATATCAAAGAACCCCAAGAATTCAATTTTTGATGAAATCAAATAAAGTTCAATTTTGGACCCTTTAAACCTCAATGTGAACCAATTTGATAACCGGGCCCAAATATCAAAAATCTAAATATATGGTTAGATTCAGCATATCAAAGAACCCCTTATATTCAATTTTTGTTGAAATCAAACAAAGTTTAATTTTGGACCCCGATTTGGACCAACTTGAATACTGGGCCCATAATAAAAAAACTAAGTACATGTTTAGATTCAGCATATCAAAGAACCCCAAGAATTCAATTTTTGTTAAAATCAAACTAAGTTTAATTTTTGACCCTTTGGACCTTAATGTAGACCAATTTGAAAACAGGACCAAAAATTAAGAATCTAAATACACGGTTAGATTAGGCAATTACCCCCAAAATCAATCCCAGCCTTCCCTTTGTGGTATGGTACCTTGCAGTACAATTTCAGAGAGATCCATACACTTGAACACAAGTTATTGTCTGGAAACTAGAAAAATGCTTATTTTTGGACCCTTTTTAGCCCCTTATTCCTAAACGTTTTGGGCAATTACACCCAAACTCAATTCCAGCTTTCCCTTTGTGATATGGAACCTTGTAGTACAATTTAAGAAAGATCCATACACTTACACACAAGTTATTGTCATGAAACTGGAAAAATGCTTGTTTTTTGCCCCTTTTTTGGCCCTGAATTCCTAATATTTTGAGGCAATTACCCCCAAAATCAATCCCAGCATTCCCTGTGTGATATGGATACTTGTGGTACAATTTCACAGAGATCCATACACTTGAACACAAGTTATTGTCTGGAAACTAGAAAAATGATTATTTTTGGACCCTTTTTGGCCCCTTATTCCTAAACGTTTTGGGCTATTACCCCCAAACTCAATTCCAGCTTTCCCTTTGTGATATGGAACCTTGTAGTACAATTTCAGAAAGATCCATACACTTACACACAAGTTATTGTCATGAAACTGGAAAAATGCTTGTTTTTTGCCCCTTTTTTGGCCCCTAATTCCTAATATTTTTAGGCAATTACCCCCAAAATCAATCCCAGCATTCCCTGTGTGATATGGAACCTTGTGGTACAATGTCAGAGAGATTCATACACTAACACACAAGTTATGTCTGGAAGTTACAAAAATGCTTATTTTTGGCCCCTAATTCCTTAACTGTTGGTACCATAACCCCCAAAATCAATCCCAACCTTCCTTTTGTGGTATTGAACCTTATGGTAAAATTTCATAGAGATTCATTCACTTAAACTAAAGTTAGAGTGTGAAAACCAATGTGTCTTCGGATGACGCCGGACGACGCCAGACAACGACGACGCCAACAACGCCAACGTCATACCAATCTACGACCGCAAAAATTTTTTGCGGTCGTATAAAAACAAGAAAAAAGGTTGAAAAGGTGACAAGTTTCTAGGAAAATGGGCTGAAATGAAATCTAATCCTATTTCGTGCTAATGTATTATATAAATATAGAGCAGACATACAACTTCTCTTATTATACCTTCAACAATGATATATTTAGCAATACATTCGCAATATATTTACTCAAACAATTTAAGTTAAAAATAAAAGAAGAATGTGTCTGAGGACACAATACCCCTGCTCAAGCTTTGCAATTTTCAAAATTAGAAAGGGGCAACAACGGCAAATTCAAACTCAGTCTGCATGTTGTGGTTCTAAGCATTGTGTATGAGTTTCATAACATTTGGATGAGGCAAACTAAAGTTAGATTGCGGAAACCTAAAAAATTTGCAATTTTCCAAGTTTTAAAAGGGCATAACTCTAGAACGGTAGGTGACTTACTGCCCAAATTTAAACTCTATCTGCTAGTTTTGGTTCTTAGCATTGTGTATGAGTTTCATAAAATTTGGATGAGCAAAACTTAAGTTAGAGTGCTGAAACGAAAATGGAAAGAACAGAAGGACGGATGGTCAAGGGTAACACTTAATGCCCCTGTTGCCTATGGTGGGGGCATACAAATACACATTTACAGGGCCATTTATTGTGGTTACTCCTTTAATTTCATATGAATGTATTGTTTCATGCATCAGGATGACACTATCTGATGTTCTCCCAGACTTAAATTTCAGTCAGAACTACAGGCTTAGTGTAAAGATGTCATAAGCAGTAGGGGAAAAACATGACCTTGTGCAATGCCAAAACCTAAGTATGGACAGGATATAGGACCATAAGTATAAATGTATGGTCATTATGTAGTGTATGACTACATGTAATAGGTTTTTGTGCTTGTAATTCTACTTTCACTGGTTGCCTAAAGGAACTTTAGCTTTTTAATTGTAGTTTATTTCTTGGATTGGAAAATTTATGAATAGCCTTATACTTCCTTAAAGAAAATTACAGATTAGTTCCCCTCTCACCATACATAAAGCATAACCTAAAAGTATATTAAGATCGCTAAATATCCTGTCCGTAAGCCTATTTTTTTGTTGGAACCCCTCTATGCGTCCATTCTTAGAGCATAACCTGTTCAAACCATTTGTCTATCTCATTCTAGAGAATAGCATGTTAAAACCATCTGTCTATCCCATTCTAGAGCATAACATATGTTTATACCATCTGTCTATCCCATTCTAGAGCATAACCTGTTTAAACCATAATCTATCCCATTCAAGAGCATAACATGTTTAAACCATCTATCTATCCCATTCTAGAGCATAACCTGTTTAAACCATAATCTATCCCATTTTAAAGCACAACATATGTTTAAACCATCTATCTATCCCATTCTAGAGCATAACATATGTTTAAACCATCTGTCTATCCCATTCTAGAGCATAACCTGTTTAAACCATCTATCTATCCCATTCTAGAGCATAACCTGTTTAAACCATCTATCTATCCCATTCTTGAGCATAACCTGTTTAAACCATCTATCTATCTATCCCATTCTAGAGCATAACCTGTTTAAACAGTCTGTCTATACCCTTCAAGAACATAACCTGCTAGAATGTGTCTTACTATCCCCTCCTAGAACATTACCTGTCAGTACACTGATAGTAATGGTTTCTAGCATCTTCACATCGACATCTCAAACTACAACCATCTTCCCACTGCTCTCCTTGTCTGTAGTATGAGCCCTTGTATACACAGAAATCTATAACAAAAAAGGAAAAGGTCAATTATTTTTTGAGACCTTAAATATGTTACTTTTAGCCTCTGGTAGAACTTTCATAGTTAATTAATATTCCCAACAGAATATGTGTATTGTATATTAATGAACAATTGCTTCCATTGTTGACCAACAGACAAAAGTTTGTCACTAAGAATGTGATTTTTTGCTGAACACAAATATCAGAATTTAAAACCTGAGTTATAATCTGTGACAATTTATATTTACACTATCTTAATTTTCAGTTTACATTTTACATGACAATTTCTAGATGGCAGCATATATTGGTTATGAGGGAAGTTACTTCTACCATAAACAAATGCTCTAACTTCCATGAATTTAATTGGCACAGCTTTAATTTTGCAGTCTTTAGTGAATGTCAAAATTTTCATATTGTCTTGAAACAAGAGGCTCTCAAGAGCCTGAATCGCTCACCTGTATTTCAAAGGAGAAGATTTTTAAATGTTAGCAAACTTGATGAACAAATTGTGTAAAATTGTCCTTAAAGGGCAATAACTCCTTAAGGGGTCAATTGACAATTATGGTCATATTAACTTTTTTGTAGATCTTACTTTGCTGAACAGTATTGCTGCTTACAGTTTATATATATCTATAATAATATTCAAAATAATAACAAAAAACTGCAAAATTTTGTTAAAACTACCAATTCGGTGGCAGCAACCCAACAATGGGTTGTTCAATTCGTCTGAAAATTTCAGGGCAGATAGATCTTGACCAATTAAACAATTTTACCCCTGTCACATATGCTCTAAAAGATTTAGTCTTTGAGATATAAGACAAAAACTGCATTTGACCTTTATGTTCTATTTTTAGCCATGGCAGCCATGTTTGTCGATGAATACAAACTTTGGATACAATTTATAAACAAGATACCCTAAGGAACATTTAGTTAAAGTTTGAAGGTAATTGGCCCAGTAGTTTCAGAGGAGAAGATTTTTAAATGTTAGCAAACTTGATGAACAAATTGTGTAAAATTGTCTTTAAAGGGCAATAACTCCTTGAGGGGTCAATTGACAATTATGGTCATATTAACTTTTTTGTAGATCTTACTTTGCTGAACATTATTGCTGCTTACAGTTTATATATCTATAATAATATTCAAAATAATAACAAAAAACTGCAAAATTTTGTTAAAACTACCAATTCGGTGGCAGCAACCCAACAATGGAATGTTCGATTCGTCTGAAAATATCAGAGCTGATAGATCTTGACCAATTGAACAATTTTAATCTGTCAGATTTGCTCTAAAAGCTTTAGTCTTTGAGATATAAGCCAAAAACTGCATTTGACCCCTATGTTCTATTTTTAGCCATGTCGGCCATGTTTGTCGATGGATCAAAACTTAGGATACAATTTATAAACTAGATACCCTAAGGAACATTTAGTTAAAGTTTGAAGGTATTTAGCCCAGTAGTTTCAGAGGAGAAGATTTTTGAAATTGTTTATGACAACAGACGACGAATGCCAAGTGATGGCATAAAAATGAGATTGTAAAGTTAGTTATCAAAGAGTTACCTCCTCCTGCTGCAGGTGTTGTTCTGACAAAGAATGGTGCTGGTGTTGTAATCTTCTGAGAGAAATCACAGAGGTATTTCTTACAACATCGATCATTGGGATCTGGTATCAATCTACACTGTTGTGGAAGATTCATGAAATTTGCACACCTGTAATATAATGGTTAGCTTGAAAATACACAATTATATGTATTAGAAGATTTTGGCTAGAAAATACACCATTATGTATTTGAAGATTTTTACTAGGGACAGCTTTCTAGTGATGTTGTATGAAAAATAAGACTAAAATTACTGCAAATACACCAATGTTTATTCTGTCTGTTATTGAATTAAATAAAATGTTTTAGTGAAATTATTCAGTGTTATAAAAGAAAATGTTTAAAATCATAGACCAGTGATTGTAATACAAACATTATTAGGCCAATCCTTGCAAAATTGAGGTCATTCATTGTTAAGTTCAAGGAATTAAAAATTGGTGTTCCAATGTCCCCCACTTCGCACATATTTTATCTATCCAAGGTACAAGGGCAATAACTAAACTAGAGGCTCTAAAGAGCCTGTGTCGCTCACCTTGGTCTATGTGCATATTAAACAAAGGACACAGATGGATTCATGACAAAATTGTGTTTTGGTGATGGTGATGTGTTTGTAGATCTTACTTTACTGAACATTCTTGCTCCTTACTATTATCTCTATCTATAATGAACTTGGCCCAGTAGTTACAGTGGAAAATATTTTGTAAAAATTTACAAAAATTTACAAAATTTATGAAAATTGTAAAAAATTGATTATAAAGGGCAATAACTCCTTAAGGGGTCAATTGACAATTTTGGTCATGTTGACTTATTTGTAGATCTTACTTTGCTGTACATTATTGCTGTTTACAGTTTATCTCTATCTATAATAATATTCAAGATAATAACCAAAAGCTGCAAAATTTTCTTAAAATTACCAATTCAGGGGCAGCAACCCAACAATGTGTTGCCTGATTGGTCTGAAAATTTCAGGGCAGATAGATCTTGACCTAATGAACAATTTTTTTCTCGTCAGATTTGCTCTAAATGCTTTGGTTTCAGAGATATGAGCCAAAAACTGCATTTTACCCTATGTACTATTTTTTAGCCATGTCGGCCATCTTGGTTCGCGGGCAGGGTCATCGGACACATTTTTTAAACTAGATACCCTAATGATGATTGTGGACAAGTTTGGTTAAATTTGTCTTAGTGGTTTCAGAGGAGAAGATTTTTGTAAAAGATTACAAAAATTTACGAAAAATGGTTAAAAATTGATTTTAAAGGGCAATAACTCCTTAAGGGGTCAACTGACCATTTTGGTCAAGTTGACTTATTTGTAGATCTTACTTTGCTGAACATTATAACTGTTTACAGTTTATCTCTATCTATAATAATATTCAAGATAATAACCAAAAACGGCAAAATTTCCTTAAAATTACCGATTCAGGGGCAGCAACCCAACAACGGGTTGTCCGATTTATCTGAAAATTTCAGGGCAGATAGATCTTGACCTGGTAAACAATTTAACCCCGTGTCAGATTTGCTCTAAATGCTTGGGTTCAGAGATATAAGCCAAAATCTACATTTTACCCCTATGTTCCAATTTTGGCCATGGCGGCCATCTTGGTTGGTTGGCCGGGTCACCGGACACATTTTTTTAACTAGTTACCCCTATGGGCCAGGTGAGCTAAAAAAGCACTTTTATTAATATCTTAATCGAAATGAAGGCTTAAGAGCAAATGCAATGTGATTTCCATTATAATTTATATTTCCAAGGGGTATAACTCTTTATCAATATTTGATCAGAACTTATTTTCGAAAGTGTCAAAGACATTGCTGATATAAACCTATGATTTAAGTTTCATAAAATTCTGGCAAGAATTGAACACATGAGAGCGTTAATATTGCAATTTCCATATAATCAATATTTTCAAGGGCATAACTCTTTTAAAAATAATTGATCAGCATTGATTTTTGTACCCTTCAAGTAAATTGATGATATAAACCTATCATATAAATTTCAAAAAAATCTGGCAAGAATTGTACACATTAGAGCGCTCATAAGGCAATTTTCCATATAATAAATATTTCCAAGGGGCATAACTCTGTTAAAAATTAATGATCGGCACTGATTTTCAAACTCGTCCAAGACATTGCTAATATAAACCTATGATATAAGTTTCATAAAAATCTGGCCAGCATTGTACACATGAGAGCACTAACGATGCAATTTTCAATATAATTAATGTTTCCAAGAGGCATAACTCTTTTTAAAATTATTGATCAGCACTGATTTTCAAACTCGTCCAAGACATTGCTAATATAAACCTATGATTTAAGTTTTGTAAAATTCTGGCAAGAATTGTATATATGAGCGCGTGTAACAATGCAATTCTCCATATAATTTATATTTCAAAGGGGAATAACTCTTTTAAAAATTATTGATCAGCACTGATTTTTGAACTTGTCCAAGACATTGCTGATACAAAGGACAAGGGGCTATAAGGGCCATTTTTGGCCCCACTCCCAAATTTCATAAAATTTGTCATGTTGTAACTCTATACCAAAGACCTTCTGAAAATGGTGGCATTTTGGGTCTATCTCGTATATTCTGTTGCCTAGCAACCAGTATAATGAGGGAGATAAACTCATTAAAAATGCTTAATATACAGCTGAAATCTATCTAAATTAAAAATCAAACCGGTTTGATATGCAGTGAATTTTACACTTATACATTGTACACTAATTAAATGTAACACAATGTAATGCACATTTCTTGATAAAATCATTGTAATTTCTCCCTAGCAACAAATGTTTGTCCATAGCAACGACAATTTGTTTTCTATTTTACAAGATTTAACTTTTGATATTTTGCAACAAAAAAACAAATCAAGATGCATATTGTTAAAAGGACTAAACTCAAAAAGAATGGATAAGAATCAATGTTGAAATAATCAACAAACAAACTACAGACAAACAAAAGTAATTCTCCAAGAGAACAGGGTAATGACATGCACTTCTAGAGTCCATCTGTGGTGTAAAATATTGTACCATTGCCCTAACGGTGAAATTGCTGGTTATTACATTTTTTTCATGAATTAATATGGGTACACCTTACATATTCTTTTAATCATATTAGATTAACAGATTTTGTCTGGGTGGAGTCCTTTTAAGTTTTTAATGCCCCACCATGGGGTTTCACTACTAAGGTACGAAAAGAATAATTTAGCAACAAGAAGAAAATCTTAATATTAATTATCTAAAATGAAGAAATTATAGAAACATGCATTAAAGGGTGTTTTCCGTTATATAAGTGTATCTTCATTATAGTACTTATGTAGAGTCTGCAGGATTGACACGTAAAAGGAAGTGAACCTGAATGGGAGCGAACCTGATTTTGATCGATCAGACCCGGATTCATTACGGTTTACCTTGTCCATCCGTACATCTCAAAATTGATTTCCATTCTCTAACTTTACCTTGCCACAAACAAATGTCCTGAAACTTATACACAATCTTTTTTATCACCAAACACAGATCAGTTTAGAATTTAGATGGCGTTGCTTTCACTATTCTGGAGTAATGTCCCTTTATAAAAATCTGGCTAGAATTGAACACATGAGAGCACTAACAATGCAATTTGCCAAATAATTAATGTTTCCAAGGTGCATAACTCTTTTAAAATAAAATAAATTGGCACTAATTTTCAAACTCGTTTAAGACATAACTGATAAAAACCTATGATATAAGTTTCATAAAAATCTGGCAAGAATTAAACAAATGAAAGCAATTCCATATAATTAATGTTTCCAAGGGCAATTCTCCATATAGTTTATATTTCAAAGGGGAATAACTCTTTTAAAAGTTATTGATCGGCACTGATTTTTGAACTTGTCCAAGACATTGCTAATATGAACCTATGATATAAGTTTCATAAAAATCTGGCAAGAATTGAACAAATGAAAGCACTCACAATGCAATTTTCCATATAATTAATATTTCCAAGGGGCATAACTCTTTTAAAAATTATTGATTGGTACTGATTTTCAAACTCGTCCAGCACATTGCTAATATACACCTATGATTTAAGGATGTACACCTCTGAGGAGCCAAATTTTTTTTTTCTTAACCTGATTTTTTTGTTTATATGACTGTAAGAAAGTAACCGATGAAGAAAAAATCATATGGTGGTACACTTCTTTTTTTGCTATCGCCATATGAAAATACCCATTTTTTATGATTTTCCCATTTTTCATCCATTTTTACCCATTTTTGGGCTATTATAATGAAAATCACATTTTCACAAGTAAACTTTTTTTCATACTTTCACTAATGTTTCCAAGGGGCATAACTCTTTAAAAAATAACTGATTGGTACTGATTTTCGAACTCGTCCAAGACATTGCTGATATAAACCTACAATATAAGTTTCATAAAAATTTGGCAAGAATTGTACATGTGAGAGCGCTAACAAGACTGGACAGAGGACGGACGCCCAGTATTTCTATGCCAATATGATGGGACAATTCAATTCTGAATATATAATTTTCCACTTTAACCAACACAACATTTTCTAGATCAAAGATATTTTCAACCTTCTTATTGTAGGAATTATTATAGATTTACATGAATATATATAAATCTGCAAAATGTTAACACTCTTGAAAGACAAATATATAAATCTATAATTTTGGTCAATGAACAAAATTATGCTAGGGCTTTTTAACAAAGGTAGGGAAAATAAGGATAATATATTTTGGATTGGCAACGAACTAAACACAAAGTAATAATTTAATCTAGGTGAGTTGTAAATTATCCATACCTGTCATTACATTGATATCTGCCTTGTGTAGCATCCACACATGTACACTTATAATCACAGCCATCATCCCACTTTGTGCCTTGTTGATACATCTTTCCTTTGTACAAACAACCATCTATAAATAAAATCCAACCAATTAACATTATGGGGCTAATTCTTATTTTTTGTTTTCTATCTGTGACCTGATTTTCAAGAAAAATGTTAATACACTTTTAAAAAAATTGCCAAAAATAAAGAAATTTTCAAAGTCAAAGGTATATAATTCAATCAAAAATATGTATACTTAAAACTCTCTGATATGTTTTAGGAGGAGAATTTTCTTTAATGGCGGTATTGTGAAAAAGATTTTTTCAGCATTATAAGTGTGACAGCCATTATTGTTTTTGAAGATTTGTGAAAATCATAATAAACTCTTTACACAGAGATATGTCTCGCCTTTTTGTAATTTTGATAATGCATATGTTGAAATTAAAATAGCAATACTTTAACATGTAAGTTATGCGAATATTCAAAGTCAATGAACCATGACTCAATGAAGATGAGATGTGCCAATGCTAATACAACTGCATACCAAATACCATTGACTTATCATAAGTCGTTCCCTTTAAATAAACCTAAACACAAACATTAACTTGTAACTATGTAAAACTTTCAAAGTCAATGAACCAGGATGAGGGGGTGAGGCTATATAATCTCCATGGAAACGAGACTTGCAAATGCCAATACATTTGCATACCAAATATTATTGATTTAACATTAGTGGTTAATTTTAAACTGATCTAATCACAAACTAATACATGTAAACTAAGCAAAGTTTCAAAGTCAATAGACCATGACTGAGGGGGTGGGGCCAAATATTATCCATGGAAATGAGATGTGCTAATGCTTATACAACTGCATACCGATTGACATTGGCCTACCACTAATGGTTCCCCTTAAACTGACCTAATCACAAACTAATACATGTAAGCTAAGCAAATGTTTCAAAGTTAATAGACCATGACTGAGGGAGCGGGGCTAAATAATCTCCATGGAAATGAGATATGCCAATGCTTATACAACAGCACACCAAATATCATTGACCTACCACTAGTGGTTCCCCATAAATTGACCTATAATCACAAACTAATACATGTTAACTAAGCAAAAGTTTCAAAGTCAATGGACCATGACTGAGGGGGCAGGGCCAAACAATCTCCTTGGAAATGAGATGCGCCAATGCTAATACAACTGCATAAAAAATATCATTGACCTAACACTAGTGGTTCAACAAAAACTAGACCTTATCACAAACTAATACATTGTTGACGCAGGAAACAGAATACCTATGTCTCGCTTTTAACGACTTTTTGACTTAGCCAAGGCGAGACAAAAACGATGAAATTAGTTTATCTTTGATTGTGAGTTTTCCCTTATTAGAGAGAGTTAATTGTCCTGGATATGTATGGACTATCCACACCTGGAAATTTCGTCAACATTTAATCAATAAAATATAAAGTTAAAAAGGGACATAAGTGAAGAACGGTAAAAGTGTCACTACCCAAATTTGTACTTGATCTGAGTTTTGTGGTAATAAGTATTGTGTATAAGTTTCATAAAATTTGGTTGAGGCAAACTTAAGCTAGAGGACGGAAACGATAAATTCAGCAATTTTTCCATTTGTGAAGGGGCATAACTCTAGAACAATAAAAGTGACACCCCAACATTCATCCTTGATCTGTATTTTGTGGTAATAAGCATTGTGTATAAGTTTCATAACATTTGGTTGAGGCTAACTTAAGTTAGAGAACGGAAATGAAAAATTCAGCAATTTTTCCATTTGTAAAGGGCATAACTCTAGAACGGTATAAGTGACACCACCAAAATTTTAACTTGATCTATGTTTTGTGGTAATAAGTATTGTGTATAAGTTTCGTAGCATTTGGTTAAGGCAAACTAAAGTTAGAGAATGGAAACGAAAAATTCAGCAATTTTTCCATTTGTAAAGGGGGATAACTCTTGAACGGTTAAAGTGACGCCACCAAAATTCAAACTTGATCTGTGTTTTGTGGTAATTAGCATTGTGTATAAGTTTCATAACATTTGGTTGAGGCAAACTTAAGTTAGAGAACTGAAACCAACTTTGGGACGTACGTACAGACAGACAAGGGTAAAACTTAATGCCCCCTCCGCTATGGCGGGGGAATAAAAAGATCCATGACAGCTTTAATAATCATAAAATAAACTAAGTTTATTGACATGCTTATTTCATATTTCATCAAATATAAACTTAATCTGTCAAAGACAAAAAAAAAAATTATATACATCTAAAATTTAACAGGCAACATTTTCAGGAGAGGAATAACAAATACATACTTCTGGTTCCTGCCACAACTGTTGGTCCATTACCAGTACCAGTACCAGTGAATGATGTTTGTCCTGGTTGGACACTGCCAGTTGGTTGGTACTGAGCTTGACCATATCCAGAGAAGCCTGGACCATATTGAGGAACAGGTACAATTATCCTAGTCCCGTTCACATTAGCTGGACAATCTGGAATCTTACAACATCTATCGTTGGGGTCTTCAATAAGTGTACAAGAAGGAGGCAATCCCAGGAATTCTGGACATCTGCAAAAAAAAAGAATTTTTTTTCAGCAACAATCTCAGTTTCTATGCAGTCAAGTAAAGTAATTTAGTTTGTCAATTAGTTCCATGTTTTAGTTAACATAACATCCAAAGAAAAGAAATATCGGATGAAAGGAATTACTGGTTGCTTCTTTATTTGTGTTTTAATATTTACTGTCTTTCTAAATATATCGTATTTGATGTATTTTTTCTATGATATATACATAATTTGGCATTTTTTATGAACAAGATGTTAGATTCCGATTTAACTTTTTACAAGTTCAAGCCCCCATAAAATTGTAATCCAAGTTCAAAAAATGTTTATAAAAAGTTTTTATTTTTAACTATGTTTTAAGAAAGGATCTGGAAATTTTTTCACACAAATTCATTTTGAGATGACTTAATAGTTGGGCCCTTTTTTCTCAAACTGTCTAATCTATTCACACTAGACATAGCATCAACGAACTTTATTTATACCTTTAAATGTGTTTGAATATAACAGATTATAGTTGCACTCCTTTAATTAGCATAAAATCATTTTGCATTTTACGATTAAGTGTCTAATATGGTGATACTTTCACACATGCGTTTTACACAGTAAATTATGCACAAGTTTGACTTGTGAAAAATTACTTTTTTCTACGTAAATAAAATTAAGTTTTAATTTTAAATCAGAATTGTCAATTGGCTTTGCTGAAAAGTAATTAAACAATGAAGAAAGTTGTCATAGAATTCTAATTTCTTTATAATATTAATTAGGTCTGCACTTGTGATCACTCTCAGGTGTGAATTAAAAACACAGGTAACTAATGATTAGCAATCATTAGTCAATATTTCCGGGAGGCATTAATCAGTTTATATGATTATTAGGAGGATCCTCAGGATTATCATACAATATGTGAAACGATAGCCTGGAGTGGCAGTTTTATTACAGGAAAGAGATTACAAAACAAAAATAAGTGCAAAATGGCAATAAAGAAACCTGATCTCAATGAAATGACTGGAATTATTTCTGTAAAAAAAATAAATTTGTCCTAAATCCCAATCTGCCATTTAGGACAAATAACTTTCAGTTTAGGTCATGACTTGCAAATATGACCGTTTCCGGACCCTTCTACTATAAACAAGGAATTATTTGAATCTGGAATAATTTTGAATTCTGGAAAATTGATAAGAAATGCACGATGAAAACTAACCCAAATAAATAAGGTTAGCCATGTGCACTTGGCTAAGGGGGGTGAGTTAGTTCATACCGAAATATCAGTGAAAGTAAAATACCTTAGCCATGCATGCATGGCTAACCCTATTTGAATTAGTTTTCATCATACTTTTCTTACCAATTTTCCAGAATTCAAAATTATTCCAGATTCAAATAATTCCTTGTTCCTAAGGATAATTTCTGTCTTGTTAAGTTTACACGATACCGAATGACGGTACGCCACGAGTTATCGTTCCTGCTGTTGTCGACGTCTTTGAAATTGACGTCAAACGTATAAAACTTAGAACGAATCAAACAAACAATTTGCCTCAGTCTGGTATAAAATAGTTGAAAGATAAATGTTTCTTTATTTCAAATTTGCAAATATATATGATTATATATTAAAAATACCTTCATTTTAGCGTCGCTTTCTATACGTATCATATTCAATCACAAAACAAAAAAAAATGCATAATTAAGATTAAAAAAAAAAGAACAAAAACGAGAAGAAAAAAAATCACACTTAGGTGAAATATAAATAGTAAATTAACCTTTTATTTTTATTAACATCATTAATAGTAACATTGCATAGATGCAGAATGTCGAGGAATTTGATGCATTACGTTATATATTTGACATTGATTGATTCGGCGTCTTCCTCCCATTCCTCTTCTCATTCTTCACATTTAAATATATACTTTTTAGATAAGTAAGCATTTGTACGATTTATCTATATATGTTCTTATGCATAACAGACTGAGCTTTTTATTCTGGGTTGGGTTTTTTTTTCAATACATTCTTATTAAGGATGTACGCTGTTTCCTGATGAAATTTTTTTTTGAAAGTAGAAAGATCTAGAAATCCAAATTATAGAAACGCATGATAATGTATGAACATACTGGGAATTGTACCACAATTAATGCAATTCCGCTAAGAAGCCCATTCGTTTTTAAATGGTCACCGAAAAACGTCGCTAGCAAAATAGAAAAAGGAAATTATTTGGAAAAGAATACCGATAGAATTTTTCCGAAAAAAGCACCATACAAGCAGACGTACAAACTCAGACAAAAACTGGTTTATTGGCATGGAATGAACAAAGAAGAGCAGTTAAAATTGGCTATTTGGCCGAACAACTTTTCCTTTGTTTCAAGTGTAAACAGTCTTTGAAATTTATTGGACTGTACAAAAGAAATCCGATATGGTTTCGAAAGCTTGTTTAAAAGAAACTACTAGCATTGTAATCTTAAAAGCACAGTCTAAACAGGACAGTCACATCGGAATAAGGAGAAAGTTAACAAAGGCTTAAACATATGGGATGTCAACACTAAATGTGCACTCGGTTAGGTCGAAATTTAATTTAATCATTCAGATCCCGTTACATCTTTTCTTTCAATTCCGTTCTGAAATAAATTATTTTCTCGAAATTTACAATCAAACGATTAATTACAAACATGTGGCCCCACAATGAATGAATGATCGGTGCTTCAATGAAGGTAAATCCAGAGTAGCACTTCGAACGCAAACAAGATATTTTCATTAACCTATTATATTCAAACGGCAAAAACAAACTGATTAAAAGAACAGTTCCAATGCCCCCACCCCACCCCCTCCCGCGTTCTACATATTGTACCTGTCAATGGCCATTATAACTTTAACAAAAATTGTTTGTTCTTGGATTTTTATTTTTTTTTATAAATATCGTTAATAGAGAAATGCAGATTTGAGGGCAAATGCAATGCAATTATTATTCTCAAGGGGCATAACTCTTTTAAGAATATTTGATCAACACTGACCTTCGAAATAATCCAAGACAATGCTGATATAAACCTTTAACATAAATTATTTAAAGATCTGGCAAAAATTGTACACGTGAGAGTGCTTACTTGAAAATGCAATTTTCCATATACTAATTAATATATCCAAGGGGCATGACTCTTTTAAAAATAGTTGATCGGCATTGATTTTCAAACTTGTCAGCGAACATGCTTATATAAACCTAATATATAAGTTTTAGTTTTATAAAAATCAGGCAAGAATTGTACACGTCAGAGAGTTAACAAGACCGGACAGACAAACAGACGGACGGAAGGACGGACCCCCGGTATTTGTATGTCCACCACAACGCGTCGCGCGGGGGACAAAAATCTAACGAGATCTTAAAATCAATTTTATTTTAGATTCATTTTAATTTGCACTTTGTCTTCGGGGAGGGGTGTGTATTTTGGATTTTTGAGTTGGACATGATGTACAGGTATAGCGGATAAAAAAACGCACCTTTTCACAAAGTGGGGAGACAAAACGACTCACAGGCGATTAGCAAAGGTGCCTTTTGGGGGATGGGCATATTACTCACATAGCCGCAGTCTTAAAAGGAGTTTTTACAACAAGTACACAAGTGTTTATGTAAATTAAAAGGGTTGTTTTTTCTTTGTGTGCATAAATGGAAATGTGGGATATACAATAAACCAGAAAATGGCCAATTAACGACACACAAAACCAAAGACATCTATATAACACGTGACTAATGCAGGATGGACGAGTATTTTTTTACTGCTAATTTGTAGTTTTAGTAAGGATTCGTTGGTCCCTTGAATTGGAAAGTTAATAAGTATATTTAGTATGGCAAGTATCAAATCTATCAAATTATAACATCACATGTTCACATCAAAAGTCAGATTTTAACTATAACAGCAACACATTTCAGTCTCCTAGTACGTATTTGTTAGTCTTTAAAATTTTTGTATTTCTGGAGAAAACTCAATCGCTTATGAAATAAGGAGATGTCGTATGATTGCCATTTAGACAACTTTCCATCAAAGACCAAATGACGTAGACGTTAGCTTGCTTACGTAGCTACATTTGAGATCCCCATATTACCATTCCACTATGAACTGCTTATTCAAAAAGATATTTTGTCACCAAATGATTTATAAAATAGAACATCATCATATATGCTAATATATATTTTGCTCCCTTGACAAAATGCTGGGAGCATATTGTTTTACCCGTGTCCTTCGACAGTCCGTCCCTTACTTGGTATATAGGGTTTATACGGCTGATTTTTTAGGATTACAGTTTTGAAGCGTTAACTTTTAAATTATGTACTTGGTGTTATTACATATACAATACGCGCTTCTTGTCAGATTTTAATTTTTTATGACAGGTTGCTGAATTTGGCATTTTGATAATATATTGCACCAAGTCTTTTTTTACCTATATTGAGGGTGCATGTATATTCTCAGGATCACTTTTTTATAATAATTTTCCACGAATGACAGAATATTGAACTTTGTCTATTCAAGTGAAATTTTGCATACAGTTTGCAAGGTTTGTCCGACTAACAACGCACACAACCCACACGTTTACATCATACAGAGTATATGACTATATTTATAGAATACGTATTTTATCAGGATGTTGATTTTCTTTATAATATTCACAACTAGCAGAATGTGTAACCTTTTTTGACAGCTGCATCAAATGTGTCATTTAGACATAACTTTTCAAGTTGTGTTGTATCGTCCTGAAAATCCATGAAATATTTGCCACTGGACGTCAAGCAACCATCAATCAATCAATTCAAATTGTACCTCGACATCACTGTTTACCAAATCAAATGTTTGAAGCACTTTATGTTATTCATGCATGGATACATCGGTGTCATCAGCATTGTCTAGTTTGGTAGGGTTAAGTTGAAGATTCAGTTTTGAAAGCTAAAAGTGCACACAGTTAGGACGAAATAAAATTAACTCAGTCGAATGTTATATTGAATTATTAGGAAATTTCCGACAGGGGGAATGAAAATAAAATAACAAACACCATTCAGATCCCGTTACAAACACCATTAAGATCCCGTTACATATTTTTTTTTTCAATCCCTCTGAATAAAAATAACGTTATTCTGTATTCCGTAACGTCACAAATTTTTGTCAATTTCTAAGCGCATCGGTCATCTTTGAAGCGATTTATCTAAAAAACAAGGATAGTGACATATGTATTTTTATACGTGTATGGATTTTTTATACAATCCTGAATATTATGTTAGTTTTTAGTCTTTCTCCCTATATGAAAAAATAGTCATCCATTGAAAAATCTAGAAAAGTAAGTCGAAAAAAAGGCATTTTCTCTATATATCTATGTAAATTTGGCGCCAAAATTGACATTTACTTATCAAAATTACAAAAAAACAAGAATGGTGAACCCCATTTTTTATTTCATATTCCGATGTAACTCAAACCAAAGAACAAGTGTGCCAAAAATTTTAGAAATCGGGAGATATGCCATTCGGTATCGTGTTACCTTAATTAAAAACTATTAAACCAATTGTTTTATAAAGTTGGATGAAAAATAATTCATTCAATTTTCTGAGTAATGAATATATCCTTGTATAGAACTTAATTAAGTTTACCTAGGGCTTAAGAAACATTTTGTAAAGCAATAAAATTACATCTTTTGTTATTTACAAATGCAATGTATTTAGTGTTTAAAATGATTAGTTCTGCTATTTGGTAAATAAAGCTATAATATAAATTACTTAGGGTCACATCTGTAGCGACCTGCTTTAGCATCATCACAGCGACAAGCTTGGACACATCCAACAACCCATCTCTGCCCTTGTTGGTATAGTGTGCCATTCACATAACATCCATCTAGAATGAAAAAAAAGTATTTTCTAAACTTTTATTTACCACTACAACTTAAGAATTTAAATAACATTGTGGAATATCATCATACTAAAACATCACTGTTGCAAATAAACTCAACTTTTAATGTTGTAAAAATAATCTTTAATGGTGAGAATTGTACAGATATCAAGCTTATTAGGCAGTTAAGATATCTCTTCATTATATTTATCAACATACTCAAATATTAATGTTAAATCATCATGAATATGAATGAAATATTTGCCACTGGACATTCAGTAACCAACAATCAATCACTGTTGAAAATATTACAGATGTAAAGATACCCCAATGATACTGTAATAAAAATACTATAAATTCAGAAATTATTGCATGCATTTATTATTGTGATTTTTGAAGAATACCCGGTAGACAAAAATGCATTAGTTTTTGAGATTTTAGGAAAATCTGCATACAGATAAATGAATCAGTTATTAGAATGCAAGCTCTTATTGCAATACTCAACCAGTCCCATTATTCACATTAATAAAAACCTTAAAACAATTTCTGAATTTACAATTACATGTACTAACAATTAATGTTGTTAAGACGTTCAACCATTACAGTTGTAAATATACTATGGAGGATACTTAAAAGTAATTATACTAACCAACTTGAGATGGTATGAGTTGTGGAATTTGTCCTGGTTTTGGTGTGGGTTGTCCTGGTATTGGTGAAGGAGTAACCTGTAATGTTGGTTGTGGCTGGTTTCCAATGAGTCCAGGTGTCAGAGCAGATCCTACAAAGGTTCCCTGTCCACCTGTGCATTCTACCTTCTTACAACAATCGGTGGCTACTTTAACCAAGTTACAGTTGAGTGGAAGATTTACATAATCTGGACATCTAAAAAAAGTAGCAATCAGAATGAAAGTCCTAGACAGTAGCAGTTAGCACTTTTACAATAATTCAACTCTCTTAGAATCCTATAAGACTATCAGATAAAAGTTTATTACTGTAAAATTACTTTAGTTCATCATGCACTCCATGATTGATATCTGTATTTGAGTATGTATTCTGTGAGAGCTATTAAAATAAAATGCTCCGCTGGGGCGCAGCTTGATACGACCGCAGAGGTCGAACCCTGAACAGTTGGGGCAAGTATGGACACAACATTCAAGCTTGATACAGCACTGAATTTGGATTGTAATTAAATATTTGACACAGCATAGGTTTCTGACACAGAATGAAAGTGGTCTAAGAACTTAAAAAAATTTAATTTACCTATTCAAACCAAATCATTATTATTTGCTTATATATATAAATCAGAAGTAACCAATTTAAAATGGAAAATTTTTAAGAAAAAAAATGAAAAAAAAATCCCCCCCCCAAAATTTTTTGAACTCCCTTATGATTCATCTCCCCCAAACTCAATCCCAGCCTTCCCTTTGTGGTATGGTACCTTGCAGTACAATTTCAGAGAGATCCATAAACTTGAACACAAGTTATTGTCTGGAAAATAGAAAAATGCTTATTTTTTGGCCCCTTTTTGGCCACAAATTCCTAAACGTTTAGGGCAATTACCACCAAACTCAAACCCAGCTTTCCCTTTGTGATATGGAACCTTGCAGTACAATTTCATAAAGATCCATACACTTACACACAAGTTATTGTCCTGAAACAAGAAAAATGCTTGTTTTTTTGCCCTTTTATGGCCCCTTATTACTAAAATTTTTACGGAATTACCCCCAAAATCAATCCCAGCCTTCCCTTTGTGGTATGGTACCTTGAAGTACAATTTCAGAGAGATCCATACACTTGAACACAAGTTATTGTCTGGAAACTAGAAAAATGCTTATTTTTGGCCCCTTTTTGGCCCCTTATTCCTAAACTTTTTGGGCAAATACCCCCAAACTCAATTCCAGCTTTCCCTTTGTGATATGGAACCTTGTAGTACAATTTCATAAAGATCCATACACTTACACACAAGTTATTGTCATGAAACTAGAAAAATGCTTGTTTTTTGCCCCTTTTTGGCCCCTAATTCCTAAAATTTTGAGGCAATTACCCCCAAAATCAATCCCAGCATTCCCTTTGTGATATGGAACCTTTTAGTACAATTTCATAAAGATCCATACACTTACACTTAAGTTATTGTCATGAAACTAGAAAAATGTTTGTTTTTTGCCACTTTTTGGCCCCTAATTCCTAAAATTTGGAGGCAATTACCCCCAAAATCAATCCCAGCATTCCCTTAGTGATATGGAAACTTGTGGTACAATGTCAGAGAGATCCATACACTTACACACAAGTTATGTCTGGAAGTAACAAAAATGCTTATTTTTGGCCCCTTTTTGGCCCCTAATTCCTTAACTGTCCGTACCATAACCCCCAAAATCAATCCCCACCTTCCTTTTGTGGTATTGAACCTTATGGTAAAATTTCATTGAGATCCACTCACTTAAACTAAAGTTAGAGTGCGAAAACTAATGTGTCTTCGGACGACGACGCCGGACGACGACGACGTCATACCAATATACGACCACAAAAATTTTTTTTGCGGTCGTATAATGATTCAAACATCTTTACCAGTCATCTTTTTATTATCTGCTCCCTAACCAGGTTGGATAATAGTTATAAAACATTTTTCATTTTGGGGCCTTTTATAGTCGACTAATACAGTACCGTAAATTGGGAAATTTTGGCGTCGGGATATTTTGGCTGTTTTTTTTTCTCTAAGGGCATGTGTTTTATTTTGGTGTGTGAATTTTGGTGCTTCCTCCAATTGATATGTTTAATTTTGGAACAACAGTAGTGAGCAAGCTCATTCATATTTGACTTTATTTACCCGTTTATTGACAAAATATCATTGAATTTCTCAACTAGAAACACGACAAAGTTAACTAAATGAAGGAGTCGGATACGGATGCAATTGCAAATAATTCCGTATATCGGGGTTCAAAGCTGAAAGAAAATATGAAATAAAATCTTAAACATTAAAATCACATTTAAATAGATTATCAATTTTTACAAATATCATAATATGAAATAAATTTTAATCATCTCTATTGCAGTACATGTTAATCTATTGACGATCAAGGACTACAAGGAGTTTTGATATTCTAATTACCAATAACGGTGTCTAATCAGCAATAGCCTGGCATATATATGACATGTGTGAATAAAAATTCATGTTGTGTTTTCTTAACAATTTCAGAAAATTGACAATTAAGTAAAAACTATATAGTGTTGTTGTCAAATTATACCAGGTATTTATTTGCAGATTTGGCTATGTATAGAATTACAATATTGTTGTACGGGTACACGATTTTGGCGTTTCAATTTTTAGTGGTTGCTTTATTTTCCTGTGTTTAATTTTGGCACTTTCATTGGAGGCACCAAATAAATCAAAATAAAACTACAACCAAAATAACCCAATTTACGGTATAGGATTTTTCATTGTTGAAGGCTGAGGGCTTTACAGTACATATGTGGCCTATAATTGCTTAAATCCACTTCTTTTGAATTCTGGTGGATAGTTGTCTCACTGGCAATTATTGAATACCATATCTCCTTGTTTTTTTTCATTTCAATAGGTTACCTCAGTCTGTAGACAAATGTAGTAATGATTTTTTTTTCATTTCACTATTAAAGTAAAAAATGTAATAAAGTAAATTTCATTTTCTTTGTACAGACTGAAGTACAGATGCTGTAACCTTATAATTCATAAAAATTCATAATTCAGTTTATTGTTACATCAAATTTAGTTCATAAGACTTTCTGAACTTTTCTACACTAATAATACTTTTAGAGTATTGAAGATTGATCAGAACTGGCTGACAATAACTTTCTAGGAGATACGCTATTCCAAGCAGACATTATTTTATGGATTTGGTATTTGCTTCTATCAGGATGTAAAAGCATGTGTTTATCATTGTTGCACAGTACAAAATGCATGGAAAATAGTGCCAAACCTAGAATCTGTGTCAATAGGAAATTTTGTCCTGCTCTCACTATTTTTCTATTTTCAGTGAAACGTGAAATTTGAGTCAAGACCCTAATTTGGCATTTACATTAAAAAGTTCACATCATAATGAACATTATCGGTGCCTTTTGTAGCTGACTATGCGGTATGGGTTTTGCTCATTGTTGAATACCATACAGTGACCTATAGTTGTAAACTTCTATGTCATTTGGTCTCTGGTGGAGAGTTGTCACATTGGCAAGCATACCGCATTCTTATTTTTATACTTTTACTGTGTACTTGTATTTTAGTTTCAAGATGATGTGACATCAATAAAAAAAATTAACTTGATAATTTGCTGATTTCACATTAAAGCATTTCAATGTTCATGGAACCATGGCGGAAGGACCTTTTTCTGGATGTCGGGATTGGGCCTTTATTTTTGGGGAATTTTGGGATTGGGTCTATATTTTTGTGGAAATTTGGAATCTAAACTTATCCGGTCTCGTGAATTAATGATTAATTTTTCCAGATCAGGGAAAGAATGCTTTATTTTTTCTGAAATTCAGGATGACTCCCCCCCCCCCCTTTCCTCCCCCTCATTAATGGACATGTGTATTAAATTTTACAATTGATGTGTCCCGGATTTGACTGTTAACTACCTTAACCTAAATTTTTAACCTGATATGGGACGGACAAATAAACCAACAGACAAATAGATCATAAACCGTAAATTCCACCTACAGTAGTAGTTGGGGCTTAACATTATCTGCAAAAGTTAAAATACCTCTTATTACATCTGTAGTACCCATATATAGCCCGTTCACATTTACATTCAAGATCACATCCATCATACCAAGTCTGACCCTGTTTGTAGGAGACACCCTTGTAGATACATACATCATTTGGGCCTGGCTGGTCACCTGAACGAAAACACAAGCAACATATTTATGTTATAGAAAAGTTGTCAAATCAATCTAATTTCTCCTTTATCTGAAATTTTAATTAATCAGAGATCCAGCTCCAACATCAACAGCCCTTTCCTCCAAACCAATTGACCCTTAATCATAAATCCCCTAAAACAGAAGACACAAAGGGTCAGCTAGTAGTGTTTAGTGGCATAACAGTGGTGTAATCTGTCTCATAAGGAACAAATAGTATACTAATTTGTAATAACATTTAACCCATTAACAGGTATCTCTTTAAATATCTTTTCCTTGTATGTCAGTAAATGATCAATAGAGTGTGCTTTTTGTATACTGTTTTCATATTTTTATATACATGTACTTGGCTTAACCAAGGGTCTTGTGTCATTGAGCATGTTGAGTTATATATTTTACATAATTTCACAAATAAAAAGGAGGACAATTACATTTAATACATAAGCAGAGGTAAAAGCTTGAATGGAATTTAAAGATACTGTGGATTCATTATCATTCATTGGATACCAATTTTCATGAATTCATGGGTCTAGGTAAACCATGAATTTAAATGTTCAATAAAGTACAAATTTTCAATTAGCATAAATACAGACTTTTTCAAACCACAAAATCAAATATCCATGAAAATACCATTTTTTTTCCTCAATCCACGAAAATTGATATCCTCGAAAAATATATGAATTCAGAGTATATAATATATAATAATTTCCTTGTCTTCTATATATAACAATTTCCTTCTCTTCTAAATATCAATGCAATACTTGAACACATTTTCATTACTTTACATTGACTTACCACATTTATTACAGAATTTACAACATTACTTTACATTGACTTACCACATTTATTACAGAATTTACGACATTACTTAACATTGACTTACCACATTTAGTACAGAATTTACAACATTATTTACATTGACTTACCACATTTATTACAGAATTTACAACATTACTTTACATTGACTTACCACATTTATTACAGAATTTACAACATTATTTACATTGACTTACCACATTTATTACAGAATTTACAACATTACTTTACATTGACTTACCACATTTATTACAGAATTTACAACATTACTTTACATTAACTTACCACATATACCACAGAATTTACGACAGTTTTCTCTAGACCAGCTGGCATAATCTGGGTTACTACATACATCTGGTCCAAACTGTTTACAGTTAGGCAATTTGTCAACACATGGTGGATCTGTAGGGTTTGTAATTCCTAAAATAGATATAAATGTTCAATTTCTTTGCTAGATTTATTTTATTGATATTACTCCATGGCTTTGTTGTTTAATTCACAGTTATTGCATGATCATCAGTTTGCAAAGAATTCTGCTTAAACTGGTGTTAGGTGCTGTCTTAAGCTTGCATTGAGGAGAGAGTTTTGTCTTTGTGATGAAGGCCTCACTAGGACTTTCAGATGAAAAACAGCAATAAAAGAGCTGGTCCTTTTGCATTTAGTATTTTGTACTGATTTTGTGTCATGAATGGATACCACATATCCTTTCTTGTCTATAAATTTAATTCATCAAATGTATTTTTAAGAATACTGTTGAAATTTGTTTTAAATGTTTTGGCATTGTCAATGTTTTTAGAATGAATTTAGTAGCCTTCACAGTACTATGAGAAAGCAAACAAACAACACAAAATACTAAAAGACATCTGGAGGTCAACATACAGTCTTTGTCTATACAATATATCAACCAATTCTGGAGGTCAACAAACAGCTGTCTTCAACAATAGACATGTGTCTTCACAATATATCAACCAATTTTAGAGGTCAACAAACTGCTGTCTTCAACAATAGAAAGTTGTCTACACAATATATCAACCAATATTCTGGAGGTCAACAAACAGCTGTCTTCAACAATAGACAGTTGTCTTCACAATATATCAACCAATTCTGGAGGTCAACAAACAGCTGTCTTCAACAATAGACATGTGTCTACACAATATATCAACCAATTTTAGAGGTCAACAAACTGCTGTCTTCAACAATATACAGTTGTCTTCACAATATATCAACCAATTCTGGAGGTCAACATACACCTGTCTTCAACAATAGACATGTGTCTACACAATATATCAACCAATTTTAGAGGTCAACAAACTGCTGTCTTCAACAATAGACAGTTGTCTACACAATATATCAACCAATATTCTGGAGGTCAAAAAACAGCTGTCTTCAACAATAGACATGTGTCTACACAATACATCAACCAATTTTAAAGGTAAACAAACTGCTGTCTTCAACAATAGACAGTTGTCTACACAATATATCAACCAATTGAGGAGGTCAACAAACAGCTGTCTTCAACAATAGACATGTGTCTACACAATATATCAACCAATTTTGGAGGTCAACAAACTGCTGTCTTCAACAATAGACAGTTGTCTACACAATATATCAACCAATTCTGGAGGTCAACATACACCTGTCTTCAACAATAGACAGTTGTCTACACAATATATCAACCAATTCTGGAGGTCAACAAACAGCTGTTTTCAACAATAGACATGTGTCTTCACTTCACAATATATCAACCAATTCTGGAGGTCAACAAACAGCTGTTTTCAACAATAGACATGTGTCTTCACTTCACAATATATCAACCAATTCTGGAGGTCAACAAACAGCTGTCTTCAACAATAGACATGTGTCTACACAATATATCAACCAATTTTAGAGGTCAACAAACTGCTGTCTTCAACAATATACAGTTGTCTTCACAATATATCAACCAATTCTGGAGGTCAACATACACCTGTCTTCAACAATAGACATGTGTCTACACAATATATCAACCAATTTTAGAGGTCAACAAACTGCTGTCTTCAACAATAGACAGTTGTCTACACAATATATCAACCAATATTCTGGAGGTCAAAAAACAGCTGTCTTCAACAATAGACATGTGTCTACACAATACATCAACCAATTTTAAAGGTAAACAAACTGCTGTCTTCAACAATAGACAGTTGTCTACACAATATATCAACCAATTGAGGAGGTCAACAAACAGCTGTCTTCAACAATAGACATGTGTCTACACAATATATCAACCAATTTTGGAGGTCAACAAACTGCTGTCTTCAACAATAGACAGTTGTCTACACAATATATCAACCAATTCTGGAGGTCAACATACACCTGTCTTCAACAATAGACAGTTGTCTACATAATAAATCAACCAATTCTGGAGGTCAACAAACAGCTGTTTTCAACAATAGACATGTGTCTTCACTTCACAATATATCAACCAATTCTGGAGGTCAACAAACAGCTGTTTTCAACAATAGACATGTGTCTTCACTTCACAATATATCAACCAATTCTGGAGGTCAACAAACAGCTGTCTTCAACAATAGACATGTGTCTTCACAATATATCAACCAATTTTAAAGGTCAACAAACTGCTGTCTTCAACAATAGACAGTTGTCTACACAATATATCAACCAATTCTGGAGGTCAACATACAGCTGTCTTCAACAAAAGACCGGTTTCTATCAAGCAATAAGTCACCCCTAGTCTATATAATGGTTGTAAATACATTTAACAGTAACTATCAAAGATCAGTCATCAGTCATCAACACAAATTTCTCCAAATTACAATAAACATAAAGATATGACATACAACAACCTTTGTACTGTAGAGGTTCCTGACCTTGTAAGACCTACTTTCAGACCAACAGATTTTGCAAAAAATGTTTGCGTTTCTCCACTTTTCTGAGTTTACTCTGATACATACCTGATCCTTTACCACTGATCATTCCGTTGCCTGTAAATGTACCAAACTGTTGGTTATATTCACATTTAGGTGTCTTACAGCACTGCCCTGGTTGTTGTTCTAGATGACAAATAGATGGTAAGTTGGAATATGTTGGGCATCTGAAATTTACAGGAAATTTAAATACATTTGTGTTCATAGTAACAAATAATTTTCTTTTATTTTATTCATTTTATTCATTTTATATGTACAATCAATATAAACATTACTGTTTAGGGGCCAGCTGAAGCCCACCTCCGGGTGCAGGATTTTCTTGCGGTGTTGAAGTCCCATTGGTGGCCTTGGGCTGTTTTTTGCTCTTTGGTCGGGTAGATGTCTCTTTGACACATTTCCTGTTTCCATTCACAATCTTTAAGTATTTGTAAGAATCAGGCAGTATCATTAAAAATAAATGTGGATTGTGTTCATGCATGGACACAGACGATGCCCCCGCTTGCATATCATATACAGATATAAAGGGACATAACTGAAGAACGGTAAAAGTGACTCTACCTAAATTTGTACTTGATCTGAGTTTTGTGGTAATAAGCATTGTGTATAAGTCTCATAACATTTGGTTGAGGTAAACTAAAGTTAGAGAACGGAAACAAATAATTCAGCAATTTTTATGTTTATAAAGGGGCATAACTCAAGAACAGTAAAAGTGACACTACCCAATTTCTAACTATATCTGTATTAAGTGGTAATAAGCATTGTGTATAAGTTTCATAACATTTGGTTGAGGCAAACTAAAGTTAGAGAACGGAAACAAATAATTCAGCAACTTTTATGTTTATAAAGGGGCATAACTCAAGAACAGTAAAAGTGACACCACCCAATTTCTAACTATATCTGTATTAAGTGGTAATAAGCATTGTGTATAAGTTTCATAACATTTGGTTGAAGCAAACTAAAGTTAGAGAACAGAAACTTCAGCAATTTTTATGTTTATAAAGGGGCATAACTCAAGAACGTTAAAATTGACACCACCCAATTTCTAACTTGATCTGTTTTATGTGGTAATAAGCATTGTGTATAAGTCTCATAACATTTGGTTGATGCAAACTAAAGTTAGAGAATGGAAAACAAATTAAACTGAGTTTTGTGGTAAAAAGCATTATATATACATTTCATTACATTAATTTAAGACAAACTCAAGTTAGAGGACGGAAACGAAAAATTCAGCAATTTTTTCATTTGTAAATGGGCACAACTCTTAGAACAGTAATCAAAGTGCTTGTAAGTATGAATGGTAAAGATTGCTTTAATTTATCAGTAGGAAGTAAAATTGAATATTGCATTGTATAAAGCATCGGTTGTAGTTGATTCAAATACCATTATGCACAAAGAAAGATAACTCCAATTTTCAAAGATGACTTTAAAATATTTTTAGAAATGAAGGGTAAAAATTGCTTTTATTTATCAGTGGAAGGTAAAATTAAACATTGCATTGTATAAAGCATTGATTGTAGTTGATTCAACTATAATCATGGACAAAGAAAGATAACTCCAATTTTAAAAATACTTGATATTTAGAAAAAAAAATGAAAAATTTAGCATTTTTTCAATTTGTAAAGAACATAACTCTAGAACAGTAAAAGTGAAGGCACCAAAATTCAATCTTGATCTGTATATTGTGGTAATAAGCATTGTGTATAAGTTTCATAACATTTGGTTGAGGCAAACTTAAGTTAGAGAACAGAAACGAAAAATTAAGCAATTTTTCCATTTGTAAAGGGGCATAACTCTAGAACGATAAAAGTGACGCCACCAAAATTCTAACTTGATCTGTATTTAGTGGTAATAAGCATTGTGTATAAGTTTCATATCATTTGGTTGAGGCAAACTAAAGTTAGAGAACGGAAACCAACTTTGGGACGTACGGACGTACAGACTGACAAGGGTAAAGCTTAATGCCCCCTCCGCTACGGCAGGGGCATAAAAACTGATGTCTTACCTAGATTGACAGGACCATAGACCAGCTCCTGTATCATCACAGATACATTTGAAACCTGCATGTAGACCATTTCTGATGTCTTACCTAGATTGACAGTACCATAGACCAGCTCCTGTATCATCACAGATACATTTGAAGCCTGTAGGCCATTTCTGATGTCTTACCTAGATTGACAGGACCATAGTCCAGCTCCAGCATCATCACAAATACATTCATATTCACAACCAACTTGCCATGTCTGACTCTGGAAATATGATTTGCCTGCATATACACACTTGTCTGAAAAAGAAAAATGTAATGAAAAATAGACATAAGTAATTACAAATAAATCAACGTGCATGTACATTTAGCAATAGAGTCAGTGATATCAAAAAGTGAGATCCAGAATAATAAAAGAAAGAAAGGAATTATAAAATGATACATTTATTTTTCTCATTATTAAAAGCTGAAAATCTAAGTAAGAAAGTACACAAGAGAACTGTGGAACAGACCATCCCTTTGTAACTTTAAATAATGGCTATCTTTTATATATTGTTATCTTGGATGTGAATGGTGAAACTAAGGCTAACTGTTCTACATAGTAAAATACATTATTTATTTACCATAATACAATTCTGGCATCTTGATGAGTTCATATTAATTACATTATCAAGCAAATTGGGAAATCATAAAATTTGAAACAAAACTTGCATACATAAATATACATTAACCTTATAATTAAATATAGTAATTTCTCATATAAAATATAACCCAAATTATTATACAATGTCTAGTGAAAGTACAGTGTGCCTACAAGTATGTATAAATGCATAAACTATTAAAGGGGGAAAGGGGGGGGGGGGAGGAATGAAAAAAAATTGTGACTTAAATAAAAGTAACCAATACATACTAATGCCATTAACATTGGCGACATTTTGTCCTGTTGTAGTCTGGAATGTTGGATTGAAGTTACAGACTGGTTCTAGGCAACATTTGCCTGGAGTTTTTGTCAATGTACACTGTGGTGGCAGATTATAATATGCTGGACACCTGTAATGAAACATCAATGTCTTAAATCCTATCTCTTATATAGTCCTATTACAAAATAAAAGAAGAATGTGTCTGAGGACATGAATGCCCCTGCTCAAGCTTTGCAATTTTTCAAGTTAAAAAGGGGCATAAATCCAGAACAGTAAGTGACTCACTGCCCAAGTTTGAACTCTGTCTGAGTGTTGTGGTTCTTAGCATTGTGTATGAGTTTCATAAAATTTGGCTGAGACAAACTTTAGTGTGCAGAAACTGAAAAAATTAAAATTTTCCAAGTTAAAAAGGGCCATAACTCTAGCACGGTACATGACTCACTGTCCAAATTCGAACTCTGTCTGCAAATTTTGGTTCCCAGCATAGTGTATTAGTTTCATAAAATGTGGATGAGGAAAACTTAAGTTAGAGTTCAGAAACAAGGCTTGTATACAGACTTTGGCAAAACCACAAATTCAAATACCCTTGAAAATATAATTTTTCCACAATCCGCAAAAATTGGTACCTGCAAAAATAAATGAATCCCCTGTATTAACACTTACTTATTATAACAGCTGTATGATCCTCGACTGGCATCATCGCAAGTACATTCATAGGCACAGCCATCATTCCATGTTTCTCCTTGTTTGTACTGTTTACCATTGTAGGAACATGTTCCATCTTAAATTATAAAAACATTAAATAGCAGGTGTTCTTGCCACAAACTAATTATGAAAACTCAATCTGCAAATAATAAGAATGAAATAATCAAAACGAAATTCAACAGGTGTAAGAGAAAAGTTAAATGGAAAAATAAAAGTTAGATAAGGCAACCAGTTATTAGGAGATAACTATTTAACTACTTAACTATTAATTGATTATTTTTTTAACCAGATTTCAAAAATTTATACTGTAGATATCTCCATTGACTAAGACTAAAATTTTAAAGCAGACAACATATACTGTTTTTACTAGTGGTTTCATGTATCATGTGTTCCATCTATTGGCTCATGTTTAACAACATTTGAATTTTGTTCAATTTTTTGATAGTATTGCATCATGGGAACTTTTTTTGCTCTAAACGTCTGTGATATGAAAAGCATCTTTTGTGAGGACATTGAGAATATGCAAAGTACTTTGCGAGGTTGGAAATTGAATTTCTTAATTTATCCATTAAAATCCTAGTCAAAAAGCATGACACAGAAAGATGTTCTTAAAACTAGTAACTACATTTTACTTACAAAATCCTGTTATTCCTTTAGCTCCAGGTGCTGTAAATAAGGAAATACTGTCTATGTGTAATGCTACATGTATTAATATAAAATATTAGAAAAATGACCAAAGAATAAAATGGCCAAATTCTAATTATAACAATTTTAACCCATCAATTTGTATGTTACTGGGTGAGATATTTATGTCATTTGCATCATCAATTCCAGTTCATCCCCAAGCTAAGATCGAATTGGTTTTTCACCACTAAGGTTCAGAATATTTCATGTGGTTATGGGGTTTACACCACACAAAATTCCTGAATGTAATGGATTTTTCATCATCCAGTTATTTAATGTTTTTATCTATGAAACAAATCAAGATTATCTTCTAATTTCATATAATATACATCATTCCAGTACATATGTGTGATAGCTGTTTTATTTGGTTAATCCAGAGGAAATTTTAAAAAAAAATGTATCTGGTTTGTTTAAATTTTCCTGCCAGTTTTGTATTTGTATAGATTAAATTACATACAAATACTACTAGAGTCATTGAAAACCAAGACAGAAACTGATCAAGTGTGAATAAGCTTTAACATGTTTAAAGACTGTTAAATACACAAGTATACAACTGAACCATTCTCTTATCTATTTTTTACCAGGGATAAAATCGTTGAGCAAAGAGCAAATGATTTAGAAATTCCAACAAGGACCCAGATCAGTTGATTGGGAGCTCTATTATTGGAGCTAAACATGCTAAAGTAGATTTTCTAAAATTGCAAAAATAAGCAAATTACCAGTACACAACATTTTATGGATTAAGGTAAATAAAGCACTGGACAGCAACTAAAAGGGTAAAGAACGCATTGTTTCTACCTATCATTGGGTTCTCCTTTGCATTAATTGGGTTTCTGAACGCTGAAATAAACACAAATGGATTGGGTTTTTGATTGTTTTTATTGAGTAATCACACAAATACGCAGCTTAGGGAGCTGCCATTTGATTTTTATGGGGGGCTAGGATGAAAAAATTTGTCCTGCATTTTTTTTTAGTTGTAATCTCTGTCCTGCCTTTTTATTTTTCACTCTATTCGGTCCTGCATTTTTTTTTTTAGTTTATCCTGACATTTTTTTACATAAATTGTCATCCTGCCTTTTTTTTTTTGCAAAGTGTCTCATCCTGCCTTTTTTTTTACTCAAAACTCCTGTCCTGCCTATTTTTTCAAATTTCATCCTAGCAAACGTTTGTAATTTAAAAGGCAATATATTTGGTAATAAAGCATCTCTATGAATTCTAGTTTTAAAAGGCTGCATTTTTCTACAAATAAGCATAATTTAGGAAAACAAAATCCATAGTCTACTTTCAACAATATCCATGGTCTACTTACAACAGAGTCCATGGTCTACTTACAGAATCCATGGTCTACTTACAACAGAATCCATGGTCTACTTACAACAGAATCCATGGTCTACTTACAACAGAAAACATGGTCTACTTTCAACAAAAACCATGGTCTACTTACTTACAACAAAATTCATGGTTTACTTACAACAGAATCCATGGTCTACTTTCAACAGAGTCCATAGTCTACTTACAACAGAATCCACAGTATTGCCTGCAGTTATCATGTGCCCATTGTTTGTAATCTGGACTACTACAAGTACTGGCCTGGAATTTGCTACATGCAATTGTTGGATTGTCTTCACATGGTGGTGGCAGAGTTGGACTTTGTGCTGTAATTTACATTAATCATTTGTTATCTTTTTATATCAAAATGTATATGTAACATATATCTTGGCAATTACACAACAGACTAGAGTTGGGAAGCCATGTTCTTATAAGGTTGTCAAGGGGTTGTGTGCAATTTAAGTCGGTTATGGTTTTAGATCACTTAAGGCAAAAAGAATCTGTGAAGGCTAAAATATTCAGAAACATATTAATCACATTGAAGGTTTGATAAAAATATTCACAATAAAAGTTTTATTCAATATATCAATGAAAAATATTTCATATTGAAGTTTGTATAAAAGTATGTACATGTATGTAGCATATAAAAATAGGAAATCAGCTGTATGATTTTCATGGAATATCCTTGGTTATAAAACACTGATCATTCACACAATTGTTTTATGGTATTGAATTCAAAGCTTTAATGATTGATCCTGGGACATAATATATTATAATAGTCCCAGATTGATCCAAGCTTTCGGGTTTCATTTTTAATTGAGTAATGAATTTTTCATCACCATGTATAATATATTGTTTATTATTTTCAACATAAATATATTTTACCTTTTTACCTTTAAAATTTCAAACCTTTAAAATGCACCAAAGCATTTTTCAGAAGCAGAATAAAGGGCTGATGGATAGAGGGAAGAAGTGTAAGACATAATAGTGTCCTGTGAAAAAGTGTTCGCCTGGACAGTATTTCACAGAATGAAAATATCAAATAATGTCCATTTCCATGAAATTTTGTCTCTTAAGTTGACAGAATTTTACAGCAAAATTTATGAAATAGTGTCCTCCCATAGGAAAATATTGCATAGCAGTTTTCATTTAATAATGTCCAGCAAGGGAAGTAATACAAAGGTCATCATAATGTTTTATTATACTTGAATTTTAATTAATTCAGAAATGTGTATTAGAAATAGATGAATTCAATCGTAATTAAAGGGAGAATGTGTCCATGGGACAAAGATGATGCACCCGCTTGCATTTAACATTATAAAGGCCACAACTCGGGAGCGGTACCAGTGACGCCACCCAAATTCGAACTTGATCTGTGTTTTATGGTAATAAGCATTGTGTATAAGTTTCAAAACATTTGGTTGAGGCAAACTAAAGTTACAGAACTGAAACCAATTTTGGGATATACGGACGGACAAGGATAACACCTAATGCCCCCTCCAGCGACGGCAGGGGCATAGAAATGGATGGCAGTGAATACCAACAAATTTACAACCATCTAAGTTCAAAGAAATACTTAGAAAAGTTCAATGAAGATGTAAGGCGAACACTTCAAAGAAAATGTCAAAATTATAAATTCAAAATGGAGGGGTTATGTTATATTTATAAAGACAAGAAGGCCAAAGAAAGTATAGACAAACTTGTGGTTCATTGTGATAAGCTGGATACTGTATAATTTAGTCTGTATTGTTTATGTGTCATGATGAAAGTGGCTATCATCTTGGTGCCAATAAGACAGTTTCCAAAATTGCATCAAAATAATTATTTTCCAAACTTTGTTCAATGACAAAATTTAATGGTACGAAGTGTCCAGTGATAATGTGGACACTTTTCCACAGATCAGGACATTATTAAATCGTACAGAAGAACAAATATATTGATTGGTTGATACTGAGTCCAAATAATTATGTCATCTTGACATATGGCAAAATCAAAGGTACTTTATTTAAATCATTTGCACCACGTGACTTTGTCCCTTTTGATCAAATTACTTCCCTTAGCTTAAGATTGAAAATATAATTTAATTATTATAGATTTGCGGATAATCCAGTCCTTTTCCGTCATGTATCTAAAACTAGTGTATCTTTAAAAACTTCCTTTGGCGGATATTTACAAAAATGCTGTGTACTTCTAAAGGAAAATGCTTAAAATTTGACTTTTTACGAAATGGGAAGGTTGAAATCATCATGTTTTTAAAAGAATTTGGCCGAAAACTTCAGAAAGCAGGTAAGTTAAAAGTTATTTAACTTTAAAATTCAACCTACAAGGTGTTTCCCTATATGCGAACAAATCATGAACAATATCTTCTTGCATGTGTATTTCTGTTTTGAATCTTGCTATTTTACCATTTTACGTCATTCTATTTGATCTTCTTATATGGCAATTACACAATGGTTACTCTTCCGATTTTTAAACTAAAAAGGCCAAAAGATTTCAGAGTAGACAATGTCCATTTGTACACGGACAGAAGCCTAAAAACATGTACAATTCACCTATATGCGAACAAATTGTTCATTCGACATAGGTATTTGCATATTGGCATTTTTATTTAAAGGGCTTATATAATCCTATTGTAATGGCTGCCGTCATGATAAAGCAAAATGGCCGCTATGCAAATTAGCAGATTACCCCAAATTTTGCCATATGACAGGCTATTTTAATTTTTTTTCTGTGACGCCTTCCTTCGATGTCACAATGCTGAAGCAATTTGGCAGACACGAATTTCTGGATAATATGAATCGAACGTTCTGAATATTTGGGTCTATCAATTTTTTTGGAATTTGATATTTTATACTCTCCGAAAGTGAAGAAGCTTAAATTGGGAAATTAGGGAAACCATTTTAAAATCACAGTAGATCGTTGCATGCACCTCAAATGGAATCATATCTTATTTTACCATTTCTTTTGGATATTTCCGTTTAGGATTTAGGGGTTTATGGGGGGAGCGGCCCACCCTGTTTATGGAGATATATATGATAAATGCATAGACTTTTTATAGGTTTCACTCCATACGTTGGCTTTTCAAAGCCCCACACCCCTTCTTTGTTTTTGGGGACTACGAGAAAAAGGGAAGGTAACGAACAAAGAAAGTTTAACTACAAATAATTATATAAATTTACATCCTACGCCTTTTTTTACTTGAGCAGAATGAGCGTTTGGATTATCTATCTATTATGATGCTATTTCCGTTGACAGTCTAATAATATCAATTTTGAAATATCAATTATACCTTACACATACTATTATCAGAGACAATGTATCATCAGAGACATCAGTAATACAATTATATGTCTCTGGTATCATATTATTATATATTTCGGCTATTATGATCTATTATGTGTAACCACTGTATATATATATGCAATATTCTTTCAGCAGTGTCACCGCGTGGTTCACCCCAAAAATTCATTCTCCTGACCTCTTTTACGGCAGGGGGGGGGGGGGGGGGGGGGGGGGCACTTCACCGATCCATTTGTGGTTGGGATGAGTAGCTGAGACGTCAAGTGCCCGGTCCACCCTTTCTGTATATTTTGAACATATATACTCAAGGATTTGATAAACTTTATTAAGTACAAATTACACCCACAAGAGGGCCAAAGGCACAATATAAAAAAGTGCATAGCCTATCATATACCGTGGCTTTTTGACAAAAAGTATATAGCTATCATAATTGTTTATTTGTACCATGCTCCCATTTTTTTAAAGAGGCGTAATTGGAAAAAAAAATTGGACGATTTTATTCATAAAAAAATATATATATTCCAGCGCTCTACGCAGGTGTGTCAAAGGCAACGGAGCAACACTAGATCACGCAATGTTACACAGCAATGAAAAGTAAACGTCTCTTTCTCTAAATAATAAAGTTTCCTTTTTAAATATCAATCAAAATCGTTAGCAGCCAGTTCAGCAAGTAAAATGTATAATAATATAGTCTATTCTTTACTTTCCTTTTTTACAGCAGCAAAGTAAGGATCAGTAAGGGTCCGTAATATGAGATTTCGTTATTGATAATCACCTTTTCAACATATAATAATTAGTATACTTACTTTTACAGATTCCACAGAACCTCTCACAGTTTTCATTTGCCCATTTAGAGTAATTTGGATCTGAGCATGTGCTTAATCCGTACTGTTGACAGTTGCTTAGTTTATCTTGACATGGGTCAAGGTTTGGACGAGGAGATTCTATTAAAGATTAAAGTAAAACATAAATTAACGGACAATTACTATCGCAGTAACTTATTTAAAATGTTGTATCATTGATTCATGTGTTTGCGTATGAAAAACATAGGTTCCACAAGATGAGTGCGCAATTCGAATAATTCCACGCCCTTGCATTGTAAATCCGTGACTTACAGCTCTTAAATTGTACTGTAAATATAACTTGTAGTCGTTATTTTTTTTTTAAATGGCTAAAATATGCATATATACTCTTTCTCCAATCGAAATTTGACCCGTATGTATCTGTAGAATTTATGGCCAACACAAGAGCGACCGTGAACTGTAAAATTAGTATCGCTTTATATCCATGACTGCTTCAATATAGTCCGCGTATTGTCACGTGATCGGTTAGTTACCAAGTGTATTATTAACTCTGTTACATACGCCGGTACTTGCATAATTTAAAAGATACAGGTTTACTGGTATTGGAAACTGATAAATGATCATGATGTTTTTGGCGAAAACTGAGGATCAAACAGACAATAAACTAAATTAAATCCTCGCCGCCGTAATTCGCTGTAGACTGCATGCTCTCCGGCAATATTGGTCCGCTTAAAGATATCAGGAAAAAAACATGATATAAGGAAACAGAGATGCAGTTGGAAGTTAAAGCTGTAAAACCGGTTTAAATTGACGTAGTGTGTGAATTATGCTCAGAGAATTATGAGACTATACTTCCAAGCTGAAACTACTAGACAACAATTATCCCTATTTATAATCTAAGATGTTGCGTTTCGCTAGGTTAATTTTGTATGTGTGAGTTTTAGAACCTTGCACCGTGTTTACATTAATATTTCTATAAAGTAAAACTTACTTGTTGGTATGAATGAGGGGGCAGTTGGTGGAATATCTGGAAAAAAACCACAAAAAAATATTCAAATTGAACAACGTTTCGTTTGTAGATAGCACAAGTCCGCAGACGATTCGGACATGGACCCCTTTTTACTATTTTCTGCATGTGTTACAGCTATTTTCGATGATATATTTCTTTGAGCTCTAATCAGTTCATATTCGTAAAGGTTTCACGGAACCCTGTTTCTCGCCTGCGGTTGCTGCTTCCAGCGTGAAATTGTAATGTTTACTGTAAAAATTGAGTTAATACAGAATTTATAAAAAAAGAAAAATACGGAAAAAATGAAAACAAATATTTTCAAAATTTTGCTCTGGATACTGTCTTTGGTCATAAACAAGCTTCTGTCCAAATTTCATAAAATTCCATGAGGTTTTGACAAAGTTATCGATGTCTAAAAAAAATCTTTAACCACAGACTGAGCCCAAACCTCTGGCGACGACAGAATCTAGAATCGCTATGTCTTGCGTTCGAGACATAAATGTCGCAGGCTCTACAATAAGAACAACTAATAAGGAAATTTGTTGAAAATATCTGCAACATAAAAAAAAAGTTGTCTTTTCCACAGACGCCTGTGTACTAGAGCACTACGCTATCTTTTATTCGTTTCTGATATATTGTATGATGGCCGGATGCGGCCATTTCGCCTTTTCGCGTTTTCACGTTTTCTCCTTTTACTTTCACGCGAAATCGAGAAATCGAGAAATCGGGAAAAGCGAAATATATAAATCGGGAAATCGAGAAATCTTTTTCATTTCCCGTTTTCGCGTTTTTGCTTTCTTGATTTCTCTATTTCTTGTTTTCGCTTTCTTGATTTCCCGATTTCCCGATTTCTCAATTTATCGATTTCACTTTCTCCATTTCCCAATTTCCCGATTTCTCGATTTCCCGATTTCTCGATTTCGCGTTTGCAAAGTGAAAGGAGAAAACACGAAAATGTGAAATGGCCGCACCCGGCCACCATAATATTGGCTTTTATCCAATTTACAGTAAACAATTTTTAACCATGCAATATATATGGCGAATGAAAAACAAAAACAATGTCAGACTTATGTAAATAACTTTCCGTTTGTATATCATGATACTCATGAACACCTGCACGTTGAATTTAACTTACTCAAACAGTGAAAAACTATAAGATACATGTAATGAGTATCTGTATACATAATATTCAGGTTACAATGCTTTGAAGTATTTCTTTTAAAAAATTTATCCCAGTCTGTGTATCTTGGCTAAAAGTACTTACTTTGTCAGGTTATTGCCTGGAAGCCAGCTGGTTATTAAAGGAACACCAGTATACATACTATTTTAGTTACAACGCTTTGAAGTATTTGTTTAAAAGAAAAATTTTCCTGGTCTCCGTATCTTGGCTACAAATACTTACTTTGACAGGTCCTGGAAGCCAGCTGGTTATTAAAGGAACATCTGTATACATACAATTTAAGTTTCAATGATTTGAAATATTTGTTTAAAAATAATATTTCCCAGTCTCCGTATCTTGGCTACAAATACTTACTTTGGCAGGTTCTTGCCTGGAAGCCAGCTGTAATTTGTTGAAGTTTGTCGAAGTTGTCCACTGTCATTACGTGGGTATTATCTGGATCAGTAGCAATTGTGTTCAGTTCATTTTTGTCAATACCTTTGCCAATACCTACGGCAAACACATCAACATTCTGCTTGTGTAGATTTTTGGCTTCAGTAGCAGTATTTGGTGGGTTATTTGATCGCCCATCGGTGATAACAATACCAATATTAGGAATACCTGGACGGTCACCATTAGCCTGAGTAAACATTTTGCTGTACAATGTTTTAAGGGCAGTTCCAGTGTTTGTACCACCAGACACATATGGAATATGGTCAATTGCAGTCATAACTGCCTGTTTGTCAGCGAACTTGTTTAAGTTGAACTCTACTTTAGCCCTGTTGCTGAAAGTTTGAATACCAATACGGATTTTGTTCTGTCCTACATTGAATCCCTTGACCATTGTTTTGACGAAAGCTAGCATTTTGTCAAAGTTAGATTTACCAACACTGCCAGAGGAATCAAGCGTGAAAACTATATCGGCTACAGTGCCACAGTCTACAAAAAAAAAAATAAGCAATATTTAAGTTCAATTCATTATTGCATAGTACAGTTTTTTTTTTAATTGTGTTAAAGCAAAGTTTACAAAAGATTTCTGGTTTTATTAGAAAATTTTTATATTTAATGCACTTATTTCTAACATTAAATAAGATATGCTAGTGATTTTAATGAAGAACATTTTGTCTTTAAAATTAATGATAAGACAGTCTAAATGTAGATCATTTCATAATTCTGATGACGATGATTTGATACATTTTAAATTTGAAAAAAAAATGTGAAGCTTAGTCTTTTTGATCAGCTCGTAATTTGCATAAGGATCATTTATATTTTGAATGTTTTGGATCTCATGACTACATATGTAACGTCTTAGACCACAGAGATCCACGTTTAAAGTGTCCGCAATATATATATATAGTCACTGCTGCGGTTGAAACTGAAATAGGTGTTGGAAATAAAAAATATTTTAACATTGATTCAATCAGCTGAAAAACGATTTAGGCTGTTATATTTCAGTACATTTCGGTTTTAGTGCTCTTAATTGTTTTAAATCTTTTGTGTTTTTTTTAACATTTTTTCATGAAAATACCTTATGAAAGTTAATATTCGAGAAATACGTGTTATGCGAACGGAAACGATATCTTCTTTTCTTTACAAAAACTGTAAACACTGACAGTGCTTTCTTGACTGAAAGATCACCCGAAAACAAGTTACAGCTGAAATTAAATCGACCATGTTTTAAGTAGACGGTACAACATGCCGTCGACACATATTAATTTAGACAGTTCTGTTGAGAAAACCTTCTTTGAAAATCTTCTTCATCAAAGTATCTGTGCATTAGCTGATGTCCTGTTTATTATTATTGCTATATACCGTGATACCAGAAGGTTCTTAACAATGATCTTGACATTTAGACACAAACAGAATCGGAATATTACAGACTCGATTTGTTTTAACTGACATTCTGCTTATTATTATAAAAACATTAGTAAAAATAGAAAGTGGAAGAACTATGCAAAATATTACAAATCGATTCAGTTGCAGATGCATTGTGTTCAAAACAAGTAAATACCAGAAAATAAGAGTAATAAGACCAAAGGGCTAAAGAGTATCATAAATCTTACCTTTTGTTGCATTTTGAGGAGTGGATGCTAAAAAGAAAGAAACTGTATAATTATAAAGTCACAAATGTATTATTACTTAATATATAAATCCATAGACAATTTTTACGTTTTTTCATGCAGTTAACAAAATCAGGGTTAATTTACAAGCATTGTCCCTTACCTTTTAAAACCCTACAGTTAAGCAGATTTTTGTTGCAAGCCATGTTGTAATTCTGATTTTTTCTTAATCAACAAAACCCTTTATTAAGGTATGAAGTTTTTAACCCCTTTTTTTATCATTTGACAAATACATACCTTCACAAGTCTTTGAGGACAAAGATGCTTGAAGTGTGTTCAGTACATCGAAATTTTCAGCATTGTAGACAAACTGGCTTTTTGGTTTGCTAGCAATGCCTTCCAATTCTCCTTGGTTAATACCATGACCGACACCAATAGCAATAACTTGCATACCGCTAGCACGCGCTTTCTGTGCCTCTGCCAAAGTATTAGCTCTGTTTGCTGAATTTCCATCAGTGATAACGATGGCAATCTTAGGAACACCGGCCCTGTGACCTGTATATCAATATATGTAACATACTTTATAATGTGGAGCTAAGTCTCTCATTTGAGGAAAAGATGACCAAGAACATTTTAAGCAATTCTTTTAAGCCTACTTTTGATAATTTACATATCGTTTCCTCAATGCTCTTGGACTTCGTACTTTATTTGGCCGTATTAACTTCATTGATTCGAGCGTCACTGATGAGTCTGGCGTACAAAATTTCAATCCAGGTATCTATGATGAGTTTGTTCCCATCTAGAGTCTGTTATCCTATCTGTCTTTGAAGACTACAAATTCATTTATACTGATGCAGTGATATTTATACTACGGTAATCTTTTGGCTATCAGCATTTATAATCTGTGTTGCACAAAAGGTCGCATGATTTACAACCAGGTGTAATTCCTGAACAAACTTTACACAAAATATGAACTGTGCCGGATGAATGTTAATCTTTATGTAAAGCGAATATTGATAAGTTTGATTTTTGATTAACGCATAAAGGAGTAGGCCCAGTAAGAGCCCTTTTTGGCCCCAAAATATAGCAGTTTTACAAAATTGTTAAAATGTAAATTTTTAGCTATTTATTGGAAAGAAGAATACTTCTGTTACATAAATATGGGCTGTTTTTGACAATACAATGCACATGTATCGGGTACTAGCATAATTAAGTCATGCTAAATTACTGAAATCGTCGAAATTTTGGCATTTTGGTTAATTTTTAGACGGTTTCCGTCTGAAATGGAAGTGGCCGCATTTGTGTTCATTCTTAACATTTAAATGTAAGTTGTATTTGATGATAATACATAACATATATAAAGGTTGAGAATGAACATGGATGCGGCCACTTTCATTTTTGACAAAAACCATCTAAAAAGTGACATATAATGACATATTTGATAGATTTTTCATATTTATGCTTGAATTTGAGCGTCTTTAATGACTAAATCAGTTCAAATCATTCACTTAAACGAATTAAATCGACTGAAGTAGACACTTAAGTGTTTAAAAAGTGTCAAAAATCTTTCATCAGATGAACCTGAATTTTGAGGCCAAAATCGGCCCTTACCAAACCTACTCCTTTCAAAAACACTTTTATTTATAATGCATCAGTGTTGATTTAAAAAATATAAATACTTGGGATGTTTTTGGAATCTTTTTTTTTATTATAAACAACACTTTAATATCAGTAGCAGAGATGGGTCCAGAATTTACTGGAGACAGTTTTCAGGCAATTCAACACAAATATAGGAGTTGTAGGAAGGGATATAAACCCCCTATTTGCAGCTAGACGACACAATTTTAAACATTATAATAAATTACGATTATGCCGTTTTCAAATCAAACCTAAGTCCCGTATGTTACTAGTGCATACAATTTTAGTTAAAGACCACACGCTTTGGCACATGCAAGAGGCTTAAATATATATATTAAAAGGGATGCGACAAAAATAACAAAAAGGCACCAAGAGGTCATTATAAAGACTAAAGAGGTCAACATACAGACTACAGAGGTCAACATACAGACTCAGGTGTATATCAAGCTGAAAATAGTCCGAAGTCGATGTAGTCATGCCTATTTATTATTCTTTCCTTACCTGCCGCTGTACTGAAGCTGTTGTCGGTCATGAACTTTATAGCTGGACCAGTATTGGTTCCACCGCCGTGATAAGCAATATTTTTTACTGCAGCTTTCATTGCATTTTTGTCGGGGTACTGGTTCATATTGAACTCTTTCTTTACTGTACTTTGGAAAGTATCAACACCAACCTGAATATCGTTTGGACCAATTGTAAATTTGTCTACAACACCTTCTACAAATCCTAACATTTTCTTGAAGTCTGTGGATCCTACACTACCGGAAGAGTCCAACAGGAACACAATGTCGGCTTTAGAACCACAATCTTGAAAAAGTAAGAAACATAACAATATAGTATGAAATACTGTCCAGTCCGATTCTTATATTATATCACATATTCCGTGCAAAAGCAAAAGTAATATACTCTAAATTCATAAAAGTTTGTGAAGTTTTTATCATTGCGAAAATTGAGAAGAGATAGGTGTTTCAAAAGTAAAAAAAAGATAGCACTATTTGTATGCAGGATTTCATAAAATCGCAATAATATATAAATGTGCGGAATAATTTCTGAATTTACAGTAATCGAGTTTTTAAAATAATACAAAAATTTAATTGGGGGATGCTTCAGAATTGGAAATCTTGTCCATTTCTTGGGACCAAAGAAAGATCAACATAAGGCTGGAGCCTGCCTACCTCTTCTCTAGTTGGTACGCTCTATGAAGTCTTCGTTTAAAATTTATGGATTCGCACCTGCTTACTTTATTGCATTTCGAAAGGAAAAGATGACTGGAGCTTGTGAACAAATTGATTTATAAGATTTATTTTTCTATTCCTAAAATTTTGATTTTTCATGTTTTTTTTTTTAAATATACTTTGTAATTTCTATGACGGAACATAATCATATCATTACATCATTTCAGTATAAACATATGCAAATAATGTAAAGGTCGTCAACATGACGTAACATTTAATCATTAAAACTTAAGTTACTTTCTTAAATACCTCAGAATAAAAAAAAACACTTACTTTTAGCTGGTGGAGGAATGGTAGTTGCTTTGACTGAAATGAAAAGTAACTCTATGTAGACTATATTCATAGCACATTATTAAATTACAATGGACAATTATAACTATGTACACACAAAAACGTATCAAAAACTAACACCGTTATACCACATCATAACTAAATTTGAAAGATATAAAATATCATTGTTAACATCTAATAATGTAATTGACTCTCAAACGATTAATGCTTTTGCGTATAATATAAGAGTTCAAAATGGTGTTTAATAAAAGGGAAAATGCATGAAATAACGAATAAAAAGTATATTAATGAATTAATAAATTAATTAATACGAAAAATGAAACATATTACATTATTCAATACAAAAAAAATAGATTCCCCCATTCATACCCTGCTATCAGACTCAACTATCATTCGGTAATCAGCTACAATTCTTGCTTACCTTCACAAGCCTTCTGTTGCAGTGTTCCTTTGATTTGTGTCAACGCATCGAAATTGTTTACAACAAACACATGTTGGTTATTAGGGTCTGTTGCCATGGCATTCAGTTCGGGTAAATTAGGTCCAGTTCCAACTCCAACAGAGAAGACGGTTACTCCTTGGTCTCTCAATCTCTGTGCCTCTTGGGCAGTTGCTGGTGGAGACTGTGATTTACCATCAGTAATAACTATAGCAATTTTAGCTGCATTACCTCTGGCACCATTGGCCGGTAAGAAGCTAGTTGTTCTGGCATATTTAAGAGCGTCAGCAGTGTTTGTACCACCAGAAATATAGTGAATATTTGTTACTCCAGCTGTTGTCTTGGCTTTGTCGGTGAATTTATTCAAATGGAACTCAAGATGAGGTTTGGAACTAAAAGTGACAAGACCAATGTGAGCTCCAGTTGGTCCAATGTCGAAACCTTTGATCATATTTTTGACAAAATCTAACATCTTATTGAAATTTGGTAAACCTACACTTCCAGATGAGTCAAGAATGAAAACTATATCAGCTGGAACAACTCCACAGCCTGAAAAATTACAGTTGTAGAATGAACTAAGAGACTGAAAGAAAAAATCTCTTATCTTCTTGTTGAGCTAGTTTTACACATGAAATATTCAATGCTGCAGTGAAATGTTTGAATGATGTTTTTTTTTAAATAAGTTAGGTTTTTTATTTACGTTATCCGACCATCATTTTATTGAGAACTGATTCCGCCTTGGTTGTTTTGAAGTAGCGTGTTCGTCTAGAGTGTGAGAGGTCGTGGATTCGACTCCCGGTCGATTCAAACCAGTCACGGGGAAAATTGGTATTTGCAGCTTCTCCACTAAGCACGCGTCATTTGGTAGGAAAAGTATGACTGATCGGCTCGGAGTCAGAATAATATGTCTGGGAAGGATGACATATCTTCCTGAAACCTAGCGAACTACCACGTTAAAAATCCGGTTCAGTGTTTCGGTCTAGTACAAAGCAGGGTTCATATTCATTTCACATTAACATGTTTTACGTCCATAATAGGAATTTAATTTGCCACTGGACGTTAAACAACCGTCCATCATCTTCATAATCATCACTGAATCAAGGTAAAATTGTTATCTTTCGATATGATATGAAAGGTATAACGATCGTATTAAACACATACATTTGTAATTACAAAGTAGAATAAATAAATAGTTAAATTACAGACAAACATCTTTGCCAAAAGAACAACGACGAAATGACATAGTCCTAAAAACATAACACAGAAAACTAAGACTGAACAACAAATCCCTCTCCCCAAAACAAAAACAAACAAAAAAAAACGGAAGTGTAAGCAGTTCCTGCTCCTCTGGTGAAAACTTATAGATAACGAAAAAGATTTTTTTAAACTGACTTATGTTTTGTAATATTTGAGTTGCTGTCCGTTTATGAGAGCATGAATTTACTCACTTTTCGCCAATGTTGTTGTTGCAATATATGGTGTTGTTGGTGGTCTTGTGGTGGGTGGTGGAGTTGTCGGACAAGGCTGTGTGTTACATGGTTGGGTATCTCTGGCAGCTCCTACACAGTTCTTTCCACCGTTAGCAGGAGGTGGGTTGGAGCAGGTTCTTTCCCTGTAGTGGGTTCCACTACCACAAGTTTTCGAGCACGGGCTCCAGAAACCGTATTTAGTCCAGCCACCATCAACTGCAAACAAAGTACACTCCAGTATAAAATATTTAGCATTTTTGTTTTATTCTTTTGAATGTTTTATATGTTTTAACCATTCATGCATCGATATTTTTACATGAATATATGTGTGTAGAATTTATATATATAGACAATAGACAATAGACAATATTTATTAGCACAAACACATTTACATTAAATGGTTATAGCATACAGTATTGAGACAATAAACTGACAATAGTTAAATTGACTATAATTATATTAGAGTGACAGTGGTATTCACAGGGGAAAAAGACCCTAAATATTAGTATATAGACAGTTAACACATAACTAATGTTCATGTACAAAATACAAAAACAAAAATTAGGATACATATTAAAAGAAATATAAGTTATACAGATGTACTCAATAAAAAAACAATCATCAATATACTTTATGGTGATTTTTATAATGACTGACAGACTGCTATTTAAAAGTGCGGTCATATGCCTCAGTGTTATAGCTGACTGCAATCTAACAAAATTGAAATTAAATTTTTTTTTCAATATTTTGTATATAGGTATCCCTCAATGATGTATATATACAGATAGATAGGTTCTTAGGATTTATTTTATGAAAATGTTAAATAAGTCATTATTACACACGATATTAAACTTGTGTTTTCTGTATAAAGTTTTTACATTTTCTTTCCAATATTAAATTTTTCATTATTGCATATGAACTGGAAATGGACAAATTTGCATTTATAGATAAGTAGATTTAACTTCAGCTTTTCATTATTCATATTTTTTTTTAAATTCCTATTTTACCTGTATTTCCTATGTTAAAGTAAACATTACTAATTGGAAAATGATTATGTTGTTCCAAAACAGCACTAGCAAAAGAAAAGAGTTTCATACGACAAAACACTTGACTGGGTATGTTATTTTTTTTTTTTTTTTTTTTTGCCAAAGCCAATCTTTTTCAATATAACCAACATATATTGTGTTTATTGACTCTAAAACTAAATCAATAGCCCAACATACTGTTTTGCATATTTTTTTCGCAAAAAGGATTGAAGAAAAGGAACAATGAACTATTATTTTTTTTATAAATGTACCTTTGCATGCCGTTTTCTTTAGCTCAGCTTGGAGTGTATTTAGGGCGTCGAAGTTCTGTACAGTAAATACATGAGCGCTATCTGTGGCTATTGTTTCCAATTCTGGTCGTTTAATTCCATTACCAATTCCAATAGCAAACACTTTGACGTTATGTCCATGGAGAATTTTCGCCTCAGCCGCGGTTTTTGGTGGATGTGCAGATTGTCCGTCTGTCATGACTATCAAAATGTTCACAACATGATCTCGGTCACCGTGTGGTTTAGTGAAAGCATTCCCATCAACGTATTTAATAGCAGTATCAGTGTTTGTACCTCCCGATTGATAAGGCATTGCTTTGATAGCGCTTACCAAAGGAGCTTTACTGTTGTATTTATTCATGAAAAATTGATTGTGAACTTGGGAGGAAAAGGTAGTTACTCCTATTTGAACATTTTGTGGTCCGATCGTAAATGAATCTGCAAATTTGGCTACGAAATCTTTTTGTTTTTGGTAATTTGAAGAACCTACACTCCCAGAGGCATCCAATAAAAAGTGTATATCAGCAGGTACTGTTCCGCAGGCTGAAAAAAAAAATCTTTATAAGATTAAGGAAAATATTGTCATTGAAATTTTAAATAATAGTCAAATACCATGATTATTCATAAGACATTTGGAGTAAGTTCGGTACGGGCCATATTTGGCCCCGATTATAAGGGGACGACCATTTGATATTCTGGGGGGGGGGGGGGGGGGGGCAGGAGGATTTTGAAAATAAATAACTCAGCCTTGATAAACACAAAAATAAATGGTTTGTTCTGTGGTAGTTTGAAAATAAATTACCTGACTTGCAATGTATTGAAAATAAATAACTCAGCAGGTCTAATCGAAAGTATGAGATGGCACCAGATTCTTCATAAATTCATCTTTTTTCCAAAAAAAATCGGGAAACACTTCCCATATCTTTTAATAATTAAAGTATAAATATTATTTAAATATACTTGAAATGTCAGAAAATTGGTTTCATTTAACTTGAGGTTAATTGTCTCAGGAACACTTACCTCACTTTTATTAAATCAGGGCCGTAACTACATTGAGACAAATGCCTCATGTAGGAAATTTCAAAACCAAACGCTTGTCTCCATATCAAATTGTGTTCACCGTGAGTGTTTGCAAGAAGCAAATTCTGTTCTCCCTCAGACGTAGCCCCTGATTTTTCGGGATCATGTTTCTTATTTATTTGTCTTTTGTTCATTGATTGCCCTTCTGTATTCTGTTAGTGTTGCATTCATTTTGTAATTTAGTAATTTTATTATTAACTTGATCATGAGTTTAAAAAAACACAGCAGCCACAGACTCAACTATGTGAATTACATTTTTGCTTTATCATGCATATTTGTCTTTTGATGTTGTCCCTAGAAACTTAAGTCTTACACTGAATCTATAACGTGATTTTGCTTTGAGACCAAAATATTGTCATAAAACTATTAAAACAGAACTTGCATTTTCAGTTTAAGAAAGGGTCTGGGGAACACCCAGAAGGCATGATTTTGCATCATTTGTTCTATAGCTTCTTTGGCCTTCAGCGGTTCAAAAACCCTTCAAAAAAAATTTTGCCTCGCTCCGCTCGGCTAAACATGTTTGCCAATACTTTTAAAAGAGCCTTAGTTACAACCTAACTTTAATACTGTTTATGTATGCAATACATGTATATGCATTGGGGAATATAGAAGATTCATTTCTGCAGAGGATGATAATTAATTCTGATTAAATGGTACATAATGACTTGACTATACATGAATTATTTATAATAAACAAATAATTTAAAAATTGTATGTTTTCGAATATTATAAATATAGTTGTGAAAATAAATAATCAGTCCCTTGCTTAAATGAAAATGAAAAATCTTGCTTCAATAGTGCAGAAAATAGATAATCTGTCCTCTTAGTTTACAAAAATAAATAACCGATCCAAAACAAATCCTCCTGCCCCCCCCCCCCCCCCCCCCCAGAATATCAAATGGTCGTCCCCTAAAGATCAATGTTACAAGATGAAAAATGTTTTAAGTTGACTTAAAGACATGTTAGAAAGTTAAATAGAACCTTTTGTGTCCAAGTTTTATTGTAAAGCGTATATTTTTACATCCCAAATTGGTCAAGATAAGAGATTTTGGCGAAATTTGACAAAATCGGCCGGTTTTCAACCAAATTTAGGAGCAGGAAACATAGAGCGCATGCGTCGACAAACTAAATATTCAAGTTAGACATGTAAAATGTCTTTACAAACATCATTACAAAAGATCTTTTTGTCGACGTATGCGCTCTATGTTTCCTGTCCAATAATCAATGGAAATTTTCCCGTTTTCATTGAATTTTTCGTGGAAAATCAAAATGAGTACTATTTGTGACGTCATGAGTAAAACGCAGGTACGTAAATTTTTAACAAAAGGCTTATTTCCTATCTAGTCAATGTATTATCTATGATTCATTGTGATCCTAATTTAAAATTTAAGCTAAAAAAGGATGCCATTTTAGGGCCTTATCGAACCTACTCCTTTATGTTACGAAACGTTCCAGATATGCAGGAAATATTTGTCACGAAAAGTTAAGCAAGTAATATCAAATAGTCATGCTTGTTATTGGGGAAAAAATATATGCCAAAGACAATATCACAGCATTGCATTGTCTGTTTTCAATTTTTTGTTCCAGAGTTAATCATAAGATATTCGGTAATTTCTTGCAGCTTTCGTGATAACTCAAACATTTCAAAAACGTATCTTACATTTTTTTACGCAATTTTTTGTTCTATGCAGACGAGTCTCCTTTCTCTCTTGAAGATTTTAAGGTTTATTATTCCAGAATACTAGATTTTTAATATGTCAAAATTCTGCAATTACGACCACGTCTCGTGACAATTCAAGTTTGCTTTTATGGATATTTATTAAAGTTCTAAAGAGTCAAACTTCATTGCAATTTTCAAAGATTTAAAGATTTGTTGATCCGGATCGAACTGTAAACTTTAAAATTCGACAATTCTGCACAAATCTAGATAACTTATTTCGCCCTGACTATTCTATGCAAAATGTGTATAACTTATTTGATTCGTGTGAAGACAAGATGGCTTTTGATTTTGAAGATTTTTGGTTAAGGTTATTGGATTTAAAGCGTTAACAATTTGTCACAGTATTGGCTCATGAAAAATAACAGTCTTTACGAAATCTGAATTCATAATGATTTAATTTTACTTTGCATCTTTTAATGGCGATTTTACGATTACTTGGTGTTGCTTATGAAACAGCTGAAAAAACATTGGACCAAAGTTTCGCAAAGTATCAATTTCTATAAAAATCGTCACAACGACGTGTATGTTGTATACCATAGTGTTCTTTCAATGTTCCTTTTTAATATTTAAAGAGGTAGGCCTTATTTCCTCTGTTTTCATATCACGCAAGCCTCACTTTAAAAATGTCTTTCAATTTACTTAAATTCATAGTATCATAGTTTCTTAACAATGTAATGGCTTTTTTCTTAACAGATCACTAAAATTAAAAACTCTTGAAGATAGCTCAAAACAACAATTTTTGCAGATTTCGGCACTTTCGAGTGTTTATCCCGAAATTGCATACAAAGAACATTCTTAACCAAAATCAAAATTATGTTGAAGGTAAGATTGCTTTTGATTTTGGAAGATTTTTTGTCCAAGTTATTAGATTTAAAGCGTAAAATTTTACAAAAATCGGTAACATTTGTAATTTTGTATCAAAATACCATTAACAGCAACATGTAGCGCCGAATAACATTTTGATTTATGAAAAATGCAAAATTGTTGAAAAATATTTTAAGAATATTATATAGACTGTTTAATATTCAAACTCCTATAGGATTTGACTACATTAAGATTTTGACCCTTTGAATGAAACAAATAAAGGGGAAAATGACCCTACCTCTTTGTTTGTTTATTCTTAAACTTACATTTCAGTGTTGTTGTCGGAATCTGTGTAGTAGTTGGAGGTGGTAGTGTTGGACAAGCTTGAGCGTTACATGGTTGAGTATCTCTAGCAGGTCCTACACAATTCTTTCCACCATTCGCTGGCTTAGGATTTGTACATGTCCTATCTCTGTGTTTGGTTCCACCACCACAAGTTTTAGAGCATTTACTCCAACCGCCGTATGAAGAGTATACCCCATCGACTGCGGAGATAAAGTAACTATTATAACATGTATTAGATTATTTGCAGAAAAAACCCCATTAAATTGAATAGCTAGTTGGCAAGATTTGCGATAGTTGTCAATTCCAGAACCTTGTTCCTGAAATTAGTTATCGGATGATTAACTTTCAAGTTGTTTTCATATCAATTTCAAACACTATTGTTTTTGCCAAAAGTACAAATGTGAATAATCAATCTATTTTTGTTGCCAATTCTTTTCTCTTTGTCATATTCGCAAAAAGAAGTTTTTCATCACAAGACCAAGGACAATAGTCGACCAATAAGAAAGGACTTTCATACAATCGGGAGTTTTGTGTAACTTAAACATATTAACATTCTGTTATAGTGGTTGAAAATCCTGGAAAACTGTGGTCGCTTGAAATCGCCGTTATTCCAAAACCTGGCTGTATAGATTTTTCTTTAAAATCTGTATATTGTTGCGGCATAAAATTCCGTAAAATTTATTTTTAAATAATCATAGGGCAACTAATTTCTTTTTTTTTATTTAATACTAATTATCACTGTATTCGTAGTAAATGACATGTTATTGCTTCACAGTGTTTGAATGGTTTAATTCAGCCGCTCGGGGTATATATTTTTTTCACCCAGTACGCCCCTTTGATAGCAAAAAAAAAAATCAAATCAAAATCTCATGTTTTTACGATATATATAAATGTTTTGTCCAAAATAGTCCAAAATTTTTATCTTCAAAATAGGGACTCATGCTTTCAAAACTCCAGGATACGCCCCTGTTGATCGTAATGTTTGTCCATCTTTATTTTACTTTTTGAACATAAAACACTGTTTTGTTAAGTTTTTCGGAATGAAATTATAAGTTAGCAATCAATTATGGTAAATTTTCAGATTTCAAAACACATGGAAATTTTTAAATGAGTTGGATTTGACTAAAGAATTATCAATGATCGAAACATGAAAGTTGGCAATCCTTTGTCATATCTATTCTGAGACCCATATCTTCGTCTGCATATAAAGTAAGAATTAACATGAACGTTACACAACATGTGTGTTAGGATCTTTATTATCTCACCATTTATCCAAAATTTTAAGCCTACTGTTGTTATACAAAGAGTAAAAATACCGTTGAAAGTTAATTATTCGATTGAAGAAAAACACGGAGAACAACGTTCCTCTTCGGAAATCATTTCCACAATTAAAGTGAAAGTGTTTATTTACAATATTGTTACTGCATACACACAATCATTCATGGGTATGTTAAATGCCTATCAATCATCTTAGGACAATAGACCTTCGTTGTAGTTGTTTTTCATCTTTGATCAAATGTTTGACTTTCAATGGTATATTAATACGACTTGTAATGTCAGTTAACAAATAACATTACAGAAACAACAAGAAAGAGGCTGGATAAAGCTGTCTTCTGATTTAAAATCTTAGGTCCATACATGATAAGGGAGGGATAACATTACTGTGATTATTGTGTGTATAAAAATAACGTAGTTAATTGTAAGAATATGGCAAGTGTTTGGAGATTATAATTACTTACATGGATATAAAAAAAACCTGTCGAAACAAATATAATGTTGCTTTGGTTCTGAACCAGACCTTCCTTTCAGTCTGTTAATTCATGTTTTCTACACTTAGAATGTTAATAAATTGAATATATTTGGAAAGTTGTGAACATCAGAATTGCGTTTTTTAATATTATTTGTCTGTTTGAGTCTCTGTTGTATTTTGTCCGGGTTTTTTGTTTTTTTTTGTTTTTTTGTTTTCTTTTGTGTGTTTGCGTTGTATATTACAATGCATTATGTTCAGGCCAATCACAATGACTTTACAACAAATTTGAATTATCATTTTAGCATTTACACAAGAATGTTTATATAAAAAAATAACAAATTCAAGTAGGAAAGAGTATTCGATAAATACTTTATATTTCCAATGGTGTATGTTAACTTATTTCATTTTGTTGAGCGTCATGGTAACCGAAAAGTTTATATATAAACCCGTTTCATGACTCCGCGAGTGTGAACTCCAACGCAGACGAAATAGTTCTGTGCGTGTTGATGAAATATTTGATCTGGACATATTTCTTTATTGCATTTTACTGGAATCATTAGCAATTAAGGTTATTTTTACGTAGATTATTGATGCGTAAACTCGGCCTTTATCTCAAAAACTTAACATAAAGTGATTCGGTTTGTGAATGAGTCGGTCCAGAATTAACGCATTAAAATTACAGAAATAATGAAATGTAGCATAATACTAGTAACGGAGTTAATAACTGCAAACTTGTAAAAATTAGGAAAAAGGACCATGATATAAGTGAATGATTTATTTCACAGCGAAAGATATGTAATTTACGTTACCTTTGCAAGCTGTTTTCTTCAACTCTGCTTGTAGTGTTTGTAGAGCATCGAAATTCGTCACTGTGAAAACATGAGCGTTATCGGAAGCTATTTTTTCAAGTTCTGTACGTCTAATACCGTTTCCAATACCTATGGCGAACACTCGAATGTTATGTCCGTGTAGTTTGGCAGCTTCGATAACAGTCTGGGGTGGATTTCCTGACTGACCATCGGTCATAACAATTAAAATGTTTACAACACCCGGCCTATCACCAGCGGCAGAGGTAAAAGCATGTTGATCGACCCATTTAAGGGCTTCGTCAGTGTGTGTATTACCAGATTGGTAAGGCACTGCTTTTATGGCATTCACTAATGATGTTTTATCATGGTATTTGTTCATGAAAAACTGTGGATGCGTTGTGGAAGAAAATGTCGTTACTCCTATTTGCACATTTTTTGGTCCAATTGTGAATTGATCTGCGAATTTTGCCACAAAGTCTTTTTGTTTTTGAAAGTTTGGTGAACCTACACTACCAGATGAATCCAGTAGGAAATGTATATCAGCTGGATTAGATCCACATGCTACAAAAATAATTACAATGAGACATACATATTTCAAAAAGTAAAATTTAAAATGAAATTAAAGATTTTTTAAATTTTGTTTAACGTTTACTCTTGAAACTCGTGATGATTTGAAAAATATTAAGGCAGAAATATTACATCAAGCGTTTTCTTTTCAAAACACGAAAAATGACTGAAAAAGATTTGCATGCAATTAAATAATAAAGAAGAAAAAAACTTACAAACTGGTGGCTGAGTAACAGCAGCATAAGCCAATTGTAGGCCTATGATCGCCGTAAAAGCCACGGCAACGCGCATGATGGTATCAATTGTTCTAAATGAATTTGCAAGACTGGAGAAGGTCTTACATTTTACCTCTTATCAACCCTAAGTTCAAAATACCATGATAACCTAGATGATAAAATATGACGAAGAATTCTTTGAAATAAAGACAATTCTTGCGGGTTACTGTATTCGAATACCTTTTATTTACCGTGTCATATCTTCAGCGTTAGAGTGCTTTTATTTTTATTTTTTCAAATTGAAGTGTTTCCACAGGTTTGATAGCTAATCTTCGGGTCACAATTTCATGCTGTCAATTTATATCGTCTTTTTATTATTACTATTCATGTGTAGTTAAAAATTCCGACTAATCGAGAATTACTAAAAAAAAACTAGTCATCTGAATATCATTTTAAAAAAGTAAAATGAAATATAATTATATGTACAGATGGGCATATAATTCGTGATCATAGATATATATATACACCCCCTTCCTCAAAATACAAAAAAAAAACAACAACAACAAAAAAAACCAACAAAACCAGCAAACAAACAAAAAATCATGACAATATTGACATACATCTAATCTAACTATACTTTTTGTAAATTTTGTGGATGCTTTGTTACTTCGTACTTAATTTGACCTTTTATTTTTTTTTTATCCGAGCGTCACTGATGAGTCTTTTGTAGACAAAGCGCGCGTCCGGCGTCCAAAACAAAGCCTGGTATCTTTGATGAGTTTTTTTTTGTTAAATGACCACCTTTATCGAAAACCTTAAACATGAGCCGAGTAAAAATAGAGTTGAAAAAGTTACTATAAACAATTTCATATATTCTTCTCTTTTTTTGTCTTTTCCCATTCATTTCGCATACTAGGATAAAATATCTACATTATACTTACTACTTGGGGGCTGAGTTACAGCAGCATTAATCACATGAAGGCCTGCAATTACGCAAATCGCCACATTAAACATGGCTACGCGCATGATGGCACTTTAATGATTCAATTACTTTAACTCGACTGGCCAGTAAGTCTTACGGATCACCTTTTATGATGGTCAAGTCAAAATACCTCGATATCTAAGGTAATAAACATAGAAGAACTACCCTGTTTTGATGAAAGAGATAAGAGTAAAGTGACCATCAAATATTTCACAAGTCTCCTATCTGGGTTGTCCTCTGTCAAACTTTATATTTTTTAACGTTTAGAATACGAAAAAAGAGATGTGGAGTAAACGTCAATGAGACAGCAACCCAAAAAGACACAACTTACTAAAGTATTTATTGATTGTTGGTTGCACAACGTCCAGTGGCAAATATTACATGCATGTTCAGGACGAACTAACCTAAAGACATCTTGGAGGCAATAAACAGTCTTCAACAACAGACAGGTGTAAATACAATACCTCCCAGTCTATTATATTTTTATTTGAGGATAACCAAAACCAATGTACGAGGTCCGATTTTATGAAACGCATAAGAGCTCCGTTGTCAATGAAGTTTTTTTTTCAAAAAAACTTTTGAGAAATTTGGTGCTTCAGCTTGACGATTCACTAAGTTCCAACTATTTCTGCTACTATTAAATAAAATGGAATACAGATCGTGAAATGATCAACAGGTTTTAAATTATGCGATGTGGATTTGATTGTTCATGAAGTAATTGTTTTTGCTTTGTCTATGAACTATTAGGATATAAGGTACTAAGTTAATCACCACGAGTAGTTGATACTTAGTGGTCAATAAAAATAGTTTGAACAAGGCAATGCAAATAAACATATGCCTGTTCCAAATCATAAACCTTGTCAGTTGGTGTTTTATCATTGTCAGTTGTTGTTTTTCGTTACATCTTGGAATTGTTGTCATTGAAAAAGAATTTGGCGTTGATTGGAGGGTTTGGTAGTCTCTATAATATTTTTACAATAAGCCTAGACTACGGCCAAATCAGAGCTTGACTTTAGGTATAGACACTTGTATGTAGTTGACCTCTAAGTCATTTGCCTGTTTTTGTTGTTGGGTTACATTCTTTTGTAGAACTATTTGGTACATAGTGAAGATGGTAGAGTATCAAATGTTATAAAAATACTAAGTTTTTAATATTCTATTGCCGTCAAACGTTGAGATTTTCTTTAAAAAAATCAAGTCTATGTTTATGAAAAATAAATATGTGTAGAGGAAATATATGTTGCGCTGGGAACTTAAACTTTTAATACCTAATAAGACTATGAATTCGCTATAACCTATGACCTGATTTTGCCGTTTTATTACATAAATTGAAACGATTGTACGGAACTTAAGTTCACCTTGTCTCTCTTACTTTATTCGGTCATTTGTGTATTCCTTCAGATTTATCAAAGTAAATAAACTTTCATTCTGTTATCGCGGTAATTTCCTCTGAAGAAAAACATTAAAGCCATTGTTTATAAACATGATGATGTTTAACATATTGTTAAATCCTAGTATGTTGAATTTTATTTTATAAGCTTTGATAGTTATATAAAGTATGAAAATTCAAAAACTACCAATCAAATATATTGCTAGAAACCTGCGTCAATGGAAACCGTGATACAATGTAGTTACATGTTGCTATATTGATGTTACCTTAAATGTTGACACATTTTTCAAAATGGTAATACTAAAACTTTGTTACATAAACAAATTGCATTATACCTCGAACAGTCTCTCAAATTTCATTCTAGAAGATCTTTACCTAAATCAACAAAGTAATTAAATGGGAATTTTGGCACAGAATTTTTACATTGTTTGGTAATTTCATCATTAGATATTGTCGTACTCAGCTTGAAAAAAAAACACCAACATAATCAGGGAATTAGTCTGCGAAACATGACTTATTTATTAGTTGCTATTGGTTTTGAACTAGCTTTCAGTAACTGCGAGTACTCTTAGACCGGTACTTTGTGTATTTAGTCTATTCATTAGTTGTTTTTGATCTTTGTGTCTATCTTATGAGTGAAGTCTTTTCAACTGATTTTTGTAGATTATTCTCATGTTGTACTGTTAAATCACTGTCCCAGGTTAGGGTAGGATTGAGCTCTCGCGTACATGTCTATAGGCAGGAGTCTGTAATTCAGTGCACGTGGTTGTCGTTTGGCGCTGTATTCATATTTGTTTTGCATTTATTACTTTGTACATAAATCAGGCCGTTGGTTGTTTGGCTTGCGTTAAAATTGTTTTACATTTTGTCATTTCGAGGCCTTCTATAATTGACCCTATTTTGTTCATTGTTGAAGGCCGTGCTGCGGCCTGTAGTTGCTTACATCTACGTCATTTAGTCTCTGATGGATGGTTATTTTATTGGCAATCATATCACATCTTCTTATTTTTATATGATGTTTGATCTGTATACGGTATTGTGCATTGCTGTTTTGCTAATACTTATGTATTTGTTATTTATTTTTTCCCCATAATATATAGACAAGTGCTTTCATTGTTCTAATTTCTTTTGAACATTCTGTTAATATAGTACAAAATGTAGGTATTTAAAGAAGTAGGATTGAGATCTCGAAAAAAAACCCCGATTAAACTTAATATTATTTTCATTCCAGCAATTTGGTGTTTAGAGTGGCCGCTAGTTAATAGTCTTTGTTAAATTCATTTAGTAAAACATATTTTCTAGTCTCAGGATAATTTAGAACTCAACTATGGTGACCTTTACATGTTTTGGTGTATTTTTTTTTCTTGTGTCGTTGGGTTAGTGTATCATCACTACCTTTTACCCTATAATGATCAAAGATTAGAGTACATGTGCACCAATAAAGACCGCTAAAAGTAGTTTAGTATAGTTAAAGTCTTTACCTTAAAATTACAAAGAGGCATTTGAACAATATCCCGGAACAAATCAAAATCGTTGAAAAAAAAAAGAATTCCCACAAAGAAAACTAGACAGTAACTTAGGAATATAGTATGCAAGTAAGTGGAAACATTTATACACTCTATTGACAAAATATTCATGTTTCCATTCGCTATTTCCGTATACAGAATATTATATTTTTATCATTTATTGACGTCAACGGTTTTTCTATTTTTGTATTGTCTCGACTTTTGATCTCTCAAGATAGAGGCACATGATACTGAATTTCCCAGTGCAATATTTGCCATAAACGACACCAAGACTGGGTATGAACAGCTACTTCGTTTAGAGGATATTAACTTTTTATAGTAATTTTTAACAAAATCTGCAAGTTCTGTTAACGCATTTGGTAAGATGCAATCAAATGACAAATTTTATATATTATTTGCAACCATTCAAACTCTTTCTATCTTTCCCTTTTTATATATAGAAGAAAACATAATAAATAAAAATTCCAAAACTCCGATCAGAAAAAAATGAAAAGGGGACAAGCTTAGATGTATTAACATAAGAAGACATCTACAGTATCAAACGTTGTCAAAACTGCACTATCTCATATAAATACATAAAATTGTAAAATAATCAGCTATTAAAATAACTGAAAAAAAGAAGAGAAAACAGAAGAGAAAACTGTCATATAAATGAAATTATCCACGAGCATTAAGTAAATTATATGTAAACTGGAGAAAGGGTGTTAAACGATTAATTTTAGACATGAGATTAAGTATTACTCATAACATGATTAAATAGCAAACCATTATTTGTGTAAGAAAGAAAACAAGAGAGAAAACTCTTTATTTTACCCTAAGGATGATAGAAAACAAGAGCGAAACTCTTTGTTTTACCTTAAGGATGATAGAAAACAAGAGAGACAACTCTTTATTTTACCCTAAGTATGATAGAAAACAAGAGAGAAAACTCTTTATTTTACCCTAAGGATGATAGAAAACAAAAGAGAAACTCTTTATTTTACCCTAAGGATGATAGAAAACAAGAGAAAAAACTCTTTATCTTACCCTAAGGATGATAGAAAACAAGAGAGAAACTCTTTATTTTACCCTAAGGATGATAGAAAACAAGAGAGACAACTCTTTATTTTACCCTAAGTATGATAGAAAACAAGAGAGAAAACTCTTTATTTTACCATAAGGATGATAGAAAACGAGAGTGAAAACTCTTTATTCTACCCTAAGGATGATGGAAAACAAGAGCGAAAACTCTTTATTTTACCATAAGGATTATAGAAAACGAGAGAAAACTCTTTATTTTAGACTAAGGATGATTGTTGCAAAGTTTGATTCCAAATGAATTTGTTTGCTAGCAATCACGCCAAATAGTTTCCTTCTACAAAATAAGTTTGATTAAGTATATTTCTCAAGCAGAAAACGGAAAAGGTATAACAATGTTTACTTCCTGGTGACACGTCAAAAGGATAACAAGCAAGCGGCCAGTGAATATGTTGCGACTCGACTTGCAAGGATGCAATATTGTCAAGTTATTTCAACAGACTCGGTTGGCATGTCAGATTTTTATTATCTGAAGGTGCAAGACCCTGACATTATGGGATTGTTTGGAAACAATGACATATGACTTGTGGGCGAAATGTCTTGAATTAAAATCTTATCAATGGCATACCTATCTTCTATTACTACGATCGAGATTCAATGATCCCACGTGAACTTCTTCATTGATGATCATTGATGATATGAACGAGAAACAACATGAATGAAAATCTATAGAAATGATTATGATTGTTCTTATCAAATCGTTGACCGACAATGTCCTTCACGAAGTTTTCAGTCGAAATCATAGTTTTTTGACCCCATATCAGTGCAACTTTATTCAAAATTAAAAAAAAAAAACTAGATGGTATGCATATACAATAAGGATGTTTCGCCTTTATAAATTCAGACGCATTTGTGAAGCAAAAAAGTAGATCATAGTAGGTGTACTGCAAATTAGAACAAGAAGCACACCCGTGCCTGTATCGCTCCCCTGGTGAAAAAAAAAATCGACACGGTTTGCTAATAAGGACTTCTATATGTACATACTATAGTTACTCTTTGTGTTACTGATATTTTTTTTTGCTGCAATTTACCTGTTTAACCTAGCTCCTACAGATAAAGCCAAACCTTAAAAAAAACCCGTGAAAATCAACATTTTAGGAGCATTCACTCCAGAAAGGGTTGTCTATAAAATATCAGAGAAGACAGATCTTGTCATACTGATAATTTTTGCAATTTACACTATTATCCTAGCTTCTGTATATTTTGAAACAATGGGAAGGAAATACAAAAAAAAAGTAAATAAATCAACATTTCAGGGGCAATAACTCCAAAATAGGTGGACAGATTTTTCCAAAATGTTCAGGTTAGTTAGATCTTGTTGTGCTGACCATTTTTTTGTTTCCTGTCAGTCGTAGTTTGACCACTATGTTATATTGTTAGCCAAGGCGGACATGTTGGTTAATCAACTTGAACGAAAATCACAAACTTTATAGTTGAAATTCTATGGATAAAGCAGACAAACGTTGGTTTCAATCCATCGAGCAGTTTAAGAGGAGGAGATCTTTAAAGAAAAGTTTACAGAAGACGGACGACGGACGACGGACGACAGACGGACGCAAAGTAATGGCAAAACCTCACATGGCTCTTCGGACCTGGTGGGCTTAAAATTATGTGTTTTCTATAAAGTGCTTGATATCGACATACCATAATGGATGCCTATAAATTATTATGGACCTTTTAAAATTGTAAACATAACCAACATTAATAACGTCTTTACAATAAATTCATCGGATGTTGGATGTGTACTGATTGATATTTAAATCTTAGATGTACTTGTTTTTTTATTAGTTGTTAATGGCTTTGAACTAGCTACCAGTAACTGCAAGTACTCTCAGATCTGTACTTTGTGTCTTTAGTGGTTTTTTTAGATGTGTTTATGCCTTGTATCGATTTAATGAATTAAGCACTTTTCAACTGATTTTTATAGTTTGTTCTTACGTTGTGCTGTTACACAACTGTCCAAGGTAAGGGGAGGGTTGGGCACATACCAACATACTTATCTCCGTTACATCTGTATGTGCCTGTCCGAAGTCAGGAGACTGCAATTCAGGGATTGTCGTTTGTTGCTGTATATCATATATCTTCGTATATTGTTTTGTACATAAATACTTCGGTTTCTTCGTTTGAATTGTTTTACATTTGTCCGTTTGGGACCTTTTATAGGTTGCTATATGGTAGGGGTTTTGCTCATTGTTTAAGGCAGTACGGTGACCTATAGTTTCTAACTTCTACGTTATTTGGTGTTTGTGTAGCTAAAGAGCTCGTGTTGCTTTCGTGTTAAATTTTCATTCTTGTTTTTTTCCTTTCTGCTTTCACTGTCTGTATTGTTTCTATCTTTAACATTATCGTCGATCCTTTCGTACTTGCATTTCAAACTTTCACAGTCCGTCGAAATTTAGGTAAGAGAATTTGACCGATGGTTTATGAATTTTGTAATGTTTGAAGGTTTAACAAGAAATTCACGAATTTGATTCAAATAAATTGTGGACGTTTTTCAAAGGGTTACGTGACGGGTGTAACACGAACTTTGTGGTGTTCGTATTGTTTAGTCTTTAGTTTCCTGTGAATTGTTTTGTGTACTGTAACAAATGTTTGTCTGTTCTTTTTTCTTTTTAATAAGGTGTTGCCTATTTTAATTCGTTTTTTTTTTACCCCCGTTGGTATGTTCTCCACTTTATTTCCCAATGTAACTTGGATACGGTGACTTCTAGATGTCCTCCTGTATTGTGGTGTTGCGCCTTTGACATGTAGATGTAGTCCATATTTTACCAGAACAACTGCAGATCCATGCTATACATTGTCAATAAGACAACTTGTCATGCGTCCAAATGACATACACGTGGATTTAAGCAGCTATATG